TATTTTTCCTTTGTAACAAATTATAGATATTTTCTTTTGACAGAATTCTTTAGTTTTTTACTTGTAACACTCTTTTTGTTTTTGTGTAGGGAAATCGAAACCAGAACAATAAGCACCTCAGGAAAATGCTGAATATCCCCTGCAATTTTGTTTTATTTCCCGACTCTAATATATAAATGTTTATATATGTAATAAAATAAATTATATGTTCCTCAAGTGGCTCGGCGCATGGTGGCAGCTGCTTTTCACTCATTTTGCGCAATTAACTTGGCCAAAATAGGGGACAAAGCCAGCGCTGGAGGAGGGTGCTGCAGTAGGGGCAGGGATCATTAGGGTTCAGTCAAGAGGCTAATTGACTTTGAGCTGGTTTGGCCTTTTGTCAGAGGGTGTTTTCAATGGGCGAAAAAATTAGATAATAAAACGATTCGGAAGCAAGGGGCAACATTTCATAGATTTGCATGTGAAGTGGCTCAAAAATAATATCTGGCTTGCAGAATCGATTTTCCCATTTGTTTTGTTCTGGGAATTCAGAAAATCAAATTTATTATTGTTTTTCATTCCTACTGTTGCTTATAAAAGAGGCTTATATTAGCTTAAATAAGCAGTATATGAGAAAAGACGCAGTATTAAAGGTCATTGAATATTTACTTTCTCTGTTGAATGCGCTGGGGAATATTATTTATCTGAGCACAGTCTTGATTCTTCTCTTTAAATTGTTAAGTTTATACTTGGAATTTATTTGTTTTCCTAATTCTATATAATATATATCTGCTATACAAGTTCTAATTTATATTTTTCTCTTTTCAGGTAAGAAAATAGCATTTATTGAGATCTTACTGAGTAAGTTCAGCTTTAATTTATAATTAATTCTACCATTTAGCAACTTCATTACTGTCCCAGTCTGTCTTACAAAACGATTGCAATTAATATTTTCGGATTGAGTTATACACACTGGGGCTGGCCAAGTTAACACAGCTGAGGAAAGAGCTAAGAGCGAGCTGTTCGAAAATAACACACCGATACACGTGCATATATCTGGTCAATTCGCCGATATGTGTGTGTGTGCATGAACAAGCGGTTATAAATAATTTCTGGCAAAAAATCAGCAACTTTTTCCGTTGATCTCCAAGTATAGAGCGTTGGCACGCTGCCAAAGCGAATTGCGCATACGCCGTGTGGTCCATTCGTGGTCCGATGGAAGTGTGCGTTTCTAATGCATATACACGTATGCTTCTGTCTGCTTCTTCTGGCCATCTCTCTGTGCTCTCTCTGGAGAAATCGCTCTTTCGTGTATTCTATAATTTAAGGGATATATAGACCTTATTCCTCTCGTGTTTGGTGCTTTTTTTATAGGCCAACACTTTTTTTCGTGCGCCCAAAGGTCATGGAAACGGGTGGGGCTCAGGGGAAGCCCCTACCCTCCCACCACACCCTCCTGCCAGTTGGCTGTCCCCACTGCCAAATTGTTTGTCAGCTTCTCACATTTTCACATCGCATTTTCATCACATTTGTTTTTCCTTTCGTTGCGGCTGCTGATTTCTCGCTGATGCTGTTGTGGCACGGCTCATTAATTTGCGTCTAATTAGTTTTGATTTTCGTTTGTCAATTGGGTGGAACAAGGACTCCTTGTTCCCCTGTCCTGCCCCAGCCCCCCTGCACTGGCCCCATCGCGCTCCTCAGCTGACTTGACTTTGGCAAAGAACTTGTCGCCGCACAGATCAAAGTGGGCAGGCAAACGACACGAAATAAATATTAAATAAATATCAAATAAATACTATGGCTTGTTTTCGGCCATTCCACAGAGCCAGAAGCATTCCCCTGCGCTCTCGTGAGTGCTTTCCAACCTTCGACAGCTGTCGGCCAATGCCAAGTGAAAAATTGACTGTCGGCCGCTCTAAGCGATTTTCAATGGGAGGAGGCTCTACACTTCCATCTTTGTCCCAGCTTTGGTTCATGTCTGTCTCTATTTATTTTACACTATGTGGAAGATCGCCAAATTTAAACTGAAATTTATAATTTGTTTTTCAGAGCACTAAACCTCAATTAAATAATATTAACCATAAGGTATGCGTTTGAGGATTTTGTAGTGCTATAGTAGTTGCAACTTTTGTAAATAATCTCTTGTAAATATCTCTAAAGATCAAAATATTTTCCCAATTATTTGCAGTGCAATTTCCCTCCGATTTCGCATTTATTTCGTTTCATTTGTTGACCAAATTTGGTCAAGGCGCTGTTCATTGTAATGCAATAAAATTCGGCAAACGAGACCAGCTACAGCGGCCATAACAATAACAAAAGTCCATTTGGGTGGCACTTCGGCCTTCTAGCCCCACCACCCCACTTGCAACAGCCGCCCGCTTTTGTGTTTCTTTTTGTTTTTGTTACTCATCATGTCCGCTGGTCTTTTGAAAGCTCAGACATCTTGGCATGCAATAAAAACAAACCCCAGAAGCGAGAAGAGAAAAGCAGCAGCATTGCAGCATGGTCGGCTGAGGGGTGGGAGGTGGGGGGAGGATGCTGCAAGCTTGTTGCATATAAGGAAAATAAGACCGAGGATGGGGGCAGCAACGGGTGCGGTCGAAATGCCTGCCCGGTAGCTTTTCTTTTTGCATTCTGGCCAAGAGCCAAAAGTTTCGTCCGAGGACTCAGTGTCATGACAAGCGGCTGCCCCGCCCCCTCTCGTCCTCCACGCCCTCTTGTCCTGTCCCGCCCGCCCCCTTTCTCCCCGGTTGCTAAATGGCTGAAATAATGTATTCATTTCTTCTCATGCCAATTGCCCAATGCTCGATGGTTAACACTTCCTCAAGGGGCAGCAAAACGAAAATGGGAACGTTAATGGACTGGTCACTCAATTCGGGGAATGGATGAGACCGAGGGGCCTAAGGCGGGCTAGGGCGGTGCTAAGTGCGGGTTAACCCCAATTATGAATGCCGAAAGCCAGTGCAGTCACAAGTCATTCGAGGAAACCCAAGATGCCCCTGTGGGAGGGCGGCATTTTAAATGACATTTTACAGCTTTATTCATAATTCAAGAAAATCCTGAAAATCAACTCAGTAATGAAACACTTTCAGTTTTTATCCAAAGAACATTTATTCACTTTATTCAATTTAGTTCGATTTCGATTCGTTTTCATTGTTCAGATCTAGCTACAAGTTCGATACAATTTTAAAGTGTTATTTATTTGTGGTGACTGCTTAGCACTTATCGATCGATAACTAAAACTATTATTGTTCGAATGTATATATCATATATCTAAGTATGTATAGCAGAGTATATAACCGTACTCGTAAAATGTTCCTCTATAATAGATTCTTGTTTGAATGTAAAACGTTTTAATTTTCGATTAATACATTTTGATTTTTTTTCGATATGGGTGTGATAGTGTCCTCGTGTCTCAGTGTATTTTTTCGTTTTAAACTTTGACTCTTGAATTTAAATTTAAACACAAGTTTTAACAAAAACAAAAACCTCTAGAAAACTCTTCGGCAAACTTGGCCCACATCCGCTTAGTGCTTAGTGCTTTGAGCTTTTGATGAAACTTTAATTTCCATTTGGACACACTGACAGCAATCAAGTTTAACCGCCTCGGCCGGAGCTAAATGCTGAGCCCCGGCCCCCCTTTTCCGCCCAGATTCACCCACTGCCCAGACCCTACCACGGGCCATTGTAAAGTTTCAATGCTCGGCGTCGAACGGGGTCAAGTGTGTGTATGCCCCTCAAGAGCTCGAGTGTTGAAGCAACAGCAGCAGTTCTGGCTTAAAAGAAAACAATAAAACGCTGCGGCGTGCCAAAAGGAAAAACAACCGAAAATATGAAACAAAAAAATCCGCAAAAAAATGGAACAAAACCCAAGCTGAAAAGACTTAAAAAGAGCGGCCTCGAGTGCGGCTAGAAATCAATAACAAAAAAGTGTCCACAGCTTAGGCAATCTGCCACGCCCACTGAACACGTGGCAATTGTTTTCGGGCCGGGCTTAAATTTAAGACCAGAATTTGTGCCTTTGGGCAGAACCAGGGGGCTTGTTTCCTAACCTCTTTCAAATAAATCTTTTTAAAAGAGTTAATGGATAATTTCATTCCACATTTGCCAACTGCCAGTGACACGCTGGAACAAATGAAACAAATTTGTGCCAAAAGGCTGCAAGAATAAATCAATTACTTTTTATCAATAAACAACAAATAGAAACTGGTTTCCCAAACCATGTCAATTAAAACCCAATTGGTAACCAGTTTCAAACCCGCCCCAAAAAGTAGGCAAGGAAAACTTCTAAAGCCTGGCTGCCAAAGGGAAATTGCATCGATTACTTTCACAAAATATTTCTGATATTTATGTGATACATAACGTGTACAACAGAATATGATTTCCTTTTTTACTCTTTAAAAAAAAAAGTTTATATAAAAAAACAACATAATGAAAAACAAACAAGAAAGTCTGAACAGAAATTTCAATCGAAAAAAAGAAAAATCCCAGAAATTATGATAAAATTAATTCAACCATTTTCCGGACTGCCTTTCCTGAATTCTTTGGCTCCGGCTGTCGCGGATTTTTCAGTGGTTCGACTTTTCCAACGCTTTTCCCCTGGCAACTGGAAAACTTTCTTTTGTGCGGATCTCCCTGTGTGTGTGAGAGCCTTCTGTGGGTGTTTGTGTGAGTGTGTGTTCAGTGGTGTGTGGTGTGTATTGTGCACTCCCAAGACTACCGTTACTAATTAGCGAGCAACCTAGTTTAACAGTTCTTCGAGGGTTTATCTTCCTCCTGCGGTGATCCCCCCAGCCCCCCTTTTGATCTCCTCGGCCGCGCTTTCTCCGCCATTTCCCTCTTTATTCTCCAGACTTTTTCCCACTTTTCTCGCTCAACCGTGAGTTGAACCTAGTTGAGTTCCCTTTCTTATTAAATAGAAACCGCCGTGGTCTGACTTCTAGCCACTGTCGCTGTTGGTGGCACTCCATTTTCCCACACCGTGAAAAAAACTTTTCAACGAGAGGGAAATTCTTGATTCAAGAAAGTTATCATGAAGTGTATGCCTAGTTATATTCCTAGGCTATAACTAGTCTTGATTAGGCATTCAATTCTACAAAAAAAATTATAAATAAATCATTAAAGTTATCTCTTCTCTCAGCACTTGGCTAATTTTTTCTTTGTTTTGCCCTTAAGGTGAGTGGGTGGTTCAGCTGGTATTATGCTTTCCTCGAGTGGTTCAGAGGTCTGTCTTCTAGACAAATATAATTTCATTGCGCTCCGCCTTCTGGGGCGACGGCTGGCGCTGGAACGCGTAAACGTTGACGATTAACTGCGCCATGAAAATGAAGCAAAATAAAACGATTAGAACTAAATACAGAAAGATATCGCGCAGCATCGCTCCCTCTCGCCTCGCCTCGGCTCGCCTTGCCGTATCGCAGCTATCCTTTTCACTCGGCCAGAGGCCAAAGCACCAGACTCCGGCGAACTCCAGATGTCATGGCTCCGGTACGGATTCTACCGCTACAGCTGCTGTTCCGGCTGCCCGTCGTCTCATTGCCTCATTACGGCCGTGAAAATGGGAAATGCGGAGAAATGGAAACCAGCTGCAATGGAAAAAGAGAGGTGGAAAGGGAAACGTGAGTGAAAAGCAGATGGAAATAACGCGCAGATTATTCATATCCCCCCAGCACGCACGGGAATGTGGGAGCCTTAAGGATGTAGTCTCATGTGCCGGCCTACTTTTTAGAGGTTATTTAAAAAAATTTTTTTTGTAATAAAAAATAATGCCATCGTTTCAATTTTCAAATATGTTTTTATAAGCATCATAAACTATTTGAAAATATTTTGTTTAATTTATTCTTGTGTAGTTTAATACACTTTATAGCATGCCAAAGTATGCATATAAAAAAAAAAGATAGATAAGATGGCGCAGGTGATTTCGTCTGCTAGAGTCATCCGAAACAAAAAATTAGAATAGATTATTGTTTTGTAAGCTAATGGCTCTGTCCCGTAATAGAATGAAATATTTTCATCAATAAACAACAAAATGGCGAACTCACAAAACAAAAAATTAAAAAAAATTTAAAAAATTTATCTTAAATTAATGATAAAAAAAAACTAATCATTAAAAATAAATGATTCTAGTACGGGACAGAGGTGTTACTTTTTAGAACAACATATCCAAATTTCAGCTAGATCGGTACCATAGAATTTTGTGAATCACCTGCGCCGCACACAAAAATGTCGTTTCGAGAAAAACGCGTTTAAAGTTTAGACGCTACCGAGAAACTCATACTTTTCGGTGTAGGCGCGCTCTCGATTATGGGCTGTATCTCTGTCATTATTTGATATTTTTATTTGAAACTTTAACAGTACATTCATAATAAACAACACTATCAAAATATAAAAAAAAAAAAAAATTGATTTTTTTAACCTCACACATGAGACTACATCCTTAAGAAAGAAAAATAAAAGTAATCCCAGTATGGTACACGACATGATGATATAAACATACACAACTATTCAAAAGCTTATAACTAATTGTTGAAAAATGGCAAAAGACTAGCCATTGGCAAGGAAATGAGTTAATTAATGCATGTGCTAATTAGTAACCATGGCGAGTAAGGAGGACCTTAATCCACAAAAAAATAAGAAAGAGTATTTACAGCAGCGATTTATCAGATTTATGGCAACAAGGTTATAAAAAGGAAAAAACGTGCAAAATACAAGCTGAAACAGAAGCAAGAGATAAGGACGAAGCCCGGTCCAAAGGATTATGTGTGGCCAGCAAGAAAGGAATCCTGTCGTTCTCCCAGCATGTGTGGGAAAAGCTTCTCTTTTTTTTCCTCCTCAAATGCCAGATGCCGGATGCCTTCGGGGAATACGGAAAGTTCTCGCCTCACATTTTTCCACCGCCCGCGACTTTTGCGATGCAAGGAGAAGAACACAAATTACGCATACGCCACGTCAGCCCAGGCTTCCCGAGGCCCATTCAGAAAACATTCTCCCACCCCTACTCGCAGAGACATGTACAGAGTCGAGTTGCACAATTGCATTTCATGTTGCCAGATGCTGTTGATGTTCTTTACCCTGTTCTTTTCGCCATTCCCGGCCCTCCTACGGCGCCGCATTGTTGCATATTTGCTCGGCATGTTGCCCAATATGTTGGCCAAGAAGAAAGGACCCCAAAAGGATGTACGAGCTTCTCGGGTGCGCGACGAGAGGAAATTAAACAAATGAAATTTAAACTGAACAAGGTCTGAACGGCCACGAAGGGAATTAGATTCCGGGATTTAAAAGAGTGGGCTACGGGGGCGTGGCAGGCAGTTTCCACATGAGCAACATGTGCACCGAATGCACGCCACTCGACCTGACCCTTTTTGACGTGCCACGTACCGCAAACCGCACCCCTCCTCCTAGGTAGATGCCTACCCCTCCTTCAGTCACAACTTCCACTTGGATCCACTCGAAACGTTCTCAATTAGTGGGGGAAACAATTTAAACCAAATTGGAGCCGAGACGCAAAAAAGCGAAATTAAATCCAGCCAGCAAACTAATGAAACCATCAATTACTCTTAAAAAATCAGAACACATTCCAAACGATATATATATTTTTTTTAATTAAATAATATTGTTTAAAATTCCTGATTCTTGGCATTAAATCTAGAAGCTATTTTCAAAACTTCTTATGATTTAAAACCACCAAGACTATCAAGCCTTTATTTCGCTCAGTGTCAACCCCTTTTAAAAGTTTAAAGAGTGTGGGTTCCCCCAACAGGTCAGAGGTTACTGCTGCATTTGCGTAAAAAATGCATCTGCCAACTGCCAGCTGCAATCATCAGGCATCCAGCGACCTGAAACGGACATCAGCAATGAATCCTTTATGGAGGGTCCTTTCGCCGTCCCCTCCGCCCCAAAAATGTTTGGGGTCGCTTTCAATTAAACGCTTATCGCGGCCCTAGCACTCGCTGAATAAGTTTTAGTCCTCGACTCTGGCTCTCTCTATGCCCCATGTCCTAGCACCGTCCCCACGAAGAAAAACAATTTTCAAAGGCCGCTTGCCACATTCCAGGGCTCGCACATCATTAGGCCGAAAAGCGGGTGGCAGGGCAGGGATGTCGGAGGCGGAGACTGGAAACAAAGCGAAGCGCATCAAAGATTATGAAACTCATTAAAAAAGTTTTGGGGGGCAACAAATCTAACAAGCTGAGGAATGTGACGCAAGGCCCCGCCTCCTCGAGCCGCCTCTTTTTCAACATAACTTAAGGCCAACAAAAAAGAAATTACCACGAGGCCAGCAAGGAGAGTTGGTAGCAAATGACCGGGCCAAGTTCAACTGGGATTTGTTTTTCCTCCCTAGGCAGTTTATTTTTAGCCTAAAACAAGACTATAATTGCATAAAAGAAATAATATTAAGGGAGTTATTAAAGAATTTTAAAAATAAAAACATTTGTATAAAAATCATTTATAAATTATAAAATTCAATAAAAGTCACCCAATTTAATTTCCAAAAAGGAAAATAAAATAAAAATAGAAAAGGCCCATATTGAATCTAAAATATTCCATCAAAAAGAAAACTTATTCTCTTACCAGTCACAGGCGTTTTAAGTTATTTTTCTTAAAGTATATTCCCAAAAAATAACGATAAAATAAGTAAATTACATAAAAAAGAAGTATATAAAATAAAAAGACTACGTGATACCCTGTAACAAATGAGTCACCAGGGAGGAATTGCAGCCTGTTGCTTGAAGCGGAACTGTGCGCCTCCTTCGGAGGATTTAAGAGGGCTTCATAAATTAGACGTCAAAGCCTAGGATCAGACAGCCATGGCAACACCCCCACTCAGGCCCTCTTGGCCACACACGTGGGTATTTCCTTCTTTATATAAGTGCACACATTCATGTGTGTATCAGGGGTGTGTGGGTGTGTGTGAAAAAGGGTCAAAGGCTATGAAAGGAGTGGGGGTAAGAATGTGCTGCTGGCAAAAGTTTGCGGCGCCTGGCAAACTTATTAAAGAGTTCGAAGCTAAACAAATTGGCAAGTTAACGCATCGTGTGGAGAGAGATGGCCTGAAGTAAAACTTGCCAAAGCATTGCGGCCATTAATTTTCACTGGCGGCGCACACGAAATGCAAATGAAACTTTCACTGGAATGTTGACAGTCAGGCAGCCAGGCAGTCAGTCAGCCTGCGAGTCAGGGAGTCAAAGAGGCCACAAAAGTCAATGAAGTGTTAAATGTCCTGCGGTGTTGGGCCGCTGGTTCTTGGCATCCGAAAAAGGTGCTATTATCCTTCCATACGCACACACATGTCCAATTTTCTGCGGCCTTCCATTTGCATTTCTGCGTGCCTGGCTTCCATAATCATCCCGGCACATCAAAGCGCCAACTTTCGGACCCGGACCCCATGCAGCCCTCGAAGTCATATAATTAAAGCAACAAACGCCAGACAGCCTCGCGGCATAAATCACTTTCGCCAGGAGTCCGCCTGCGTCGGTTTGTCAGCTTCATTCATGAGTTTTCGGTTGGAGATTCCATTCATGGACAAATACTCGGCTCACACGCACTTTTATGAGCCATTTGACCCGCGTCCCGAATCCCCCCAAGCCCCATCCTCAAAAAATAAGAGACATACACGTTACCAATTTATGCTGAGCCGCTCGTAAACTGGCCAAAAGGCAAAAAATTTTCCACTAACGAGCCGAGGCGGTAAACTCTTTTTTCCTTTCCCTTATATATTTTTTTGTTGGGTTTTTTTGACAGCTTCACTTCACTGTTATGGTTTTCTTTTGGAGACAGTTCCACGCGGCGTATACGTAATATTTCGTATGCTGAGTGTTCGGCTTGGTGAGCCTTTGAGAGAATGCCGCGATGCTTTCAGCTTGACGTTGCTAACGCGACTCCGACTATTTGGCTTTGCAGGCGGCTTCTTATAGCAGGACGTTCGGGGCTCGTCCTTCGTCCTGAATCGTGCGAACCTCACCAGTTGAGCCTCGTCTCGTTTGGCGATTCGTTGCCACGGCGTTCTCGGCATTCGCTGCGTTCTTTTCGTGCCGGAAATTGTTGTTCAACAAATGCAAAGAGTTCTCAGTCAACAGGCAGAAGCAAGTGGATGGATGGACGCTAAGCGAAAGGATTGCATATCCTGCCTATCCTTGTGGGTCGGCTCATGGATGGAAACTTTTCAAAATGGCGATCGCCTTGAAATAGTTTTGAAGAAACTCTTGCAAAGATGAGCTCTTACTAAGAAAATCTCCGATTTTTTAATCCTTTTTCTAGAGACCCCTTAACCCTAATTCCAGTACAATCCTTTACCAAATCGCTTATCGATCTGACTAGCAACGACTACCCCAATTTTAAGCCCTCCTCCCCCCCAAAAAAAAACCACTCCTCCAATTCAAATATTTCCCATTTTTCTTGTTTACGCCTCCTTCCGCCCTGTCATGTTTATATTTTCAGCCGCATCATAAGGCAAACATTTTAATTTTCCGTAGCCTGTAGTGCCACGCCCCTTGCGCCCCTTCTAAAAAACCGCCCATACACAGGAGGCGCACAAATATTGACACTCAACTAAGCCGGCAGGCAAACGCTGACCAAATCAACCGCCCTCCCCCCTGTCCCCTGTTCAGGATCCATCGCTGATGACGCCAATCATGTTTCTGGCCTGCCCCCTCAAAGGAAGCTGGGGCGTTGCTGGTGGGAGAGAGGGGCGAGGCTCTCGGGCCGTCAGTTGGCGTGACAAGCAAGACTTTAGACTTGCAGGAAGCGGCGAGCAGGGTGGAGGGGTGGAGCGCCAGAGCCATACAGACATCGGCACAGTTTGTTATTATTTAAATCAGGAAGTCGACGAAATTTCCTGTGCCACTGGCATGGCCAACAAATTGGCAGCTGACTTCCGCAGTCGAGTCAATTAAATTTTCCCTTTAAGTGATTTCTGTCGCCATCAAATGTCGCAGCAGGATCTCCCCCTCATTCTCCTGGTATCCCCCTCATTCTCCTGGATGAAGGGGCATTCTCCTGGTATACAACTCACCTCACCCATTGATTTCCTTTTCCCTCCGACCCTAATGAGAAATCGATGTGTTGTAATTTGTTCAAATCCAATTTCGGAGTACGGCCGTCGTAACCGTGGTCCGGAGACTCCGGACAACACACCTGGCCCCCAATCGTCACCGGAGCCTCTTGGTATACCGTAAAAATAAAGACTATAATATGAATATGAATAATGAATAATATGAAATATATTCAACATATTTATTATTGAAATTATCCTTAGAAATTTCCTATTCTTCAGGTAATAAAATATTATCCTATTTTAATAATTTTCTTCAAATATTAAGAGTTTTTTAAGAACGAAAAAGTGGATTTTTTATGAAAACTTTCTATTCTCTAAACCATCTTTTGTTCTTTTTTAATAAAGTTTATTTTTTTGTGAATTATATTTATATTTTTTTCAGTGCACTCTTCGCTTCACCTGTTTCCTATTTTGAGGGGCTCATTTTAATGAGTTTTTATTGCGCTTCAGGTGCTTTGATTGCTGCGATTTTTAACTTGATTTACGCGAGTTTAGTGCGGGAGTGGGTGGAAGAGGGTGGAAGGCCCACTATTGATTTTTCAATTAAGCCGGACTCCACGCCCCCCACAGCCCACTACCCCCCTCCAGACTCCTTCAATGCATTTTGCATGTTTTTGCGTGTTGGCAACATTTGTTTTGCGAGAAAGCCTTCGCGGCTTCGGAAGGACTGTCTTTTGTAGCAAGTTTTATGCGCCGCATCCTGTGCACGCCAAACACAAGGGGGGGTGAGGCAGATGGGGTATTTCGGGAGTACATGCCAGAGGGAAGAGGTAGTCGGGGTACCATACCGCGTTGTAGCGCAATTTATGCGGTAATTGCTTTTTTAAGCGCTTCGCATTTATCTTTTCGACACAAGTGAAATGAGTTTCTGCCTCCTTTGCGTGCCTTTTGTCGATTTGCCGGCAACAACAGCAATAACGAGCAAGGATAACAACAACAGCAGGAGCAAAAATTACTACAAAAGCAGATACCGCCTGTCACAACGCCAACAAAAGCCAAAAAAAGAAGCTCAACTACTTACAATGGCATTTTTATGACGTCTTCTATTTGTCTGCGCATCACGTTTGCCCTCGCACCACGCCCCCTGACCTTCCCTACACTGAGAAAATATGTTTAAACCAGGAAATGATTTTTTTTTTAATCACAGAGGACCTTAATCTTGTACTATAACCATGAAAATCCACTATATTAATATGCCCAGACCCCTCAGTTGAAATATTCTCAGTGTACCGTGCCCCCTAAAGTATGCAGTGTCTCCTGTTATGGTTGTTTATGGAAATGCCGCGCAAGTTTTTCCCTCGCAGTTTCATTCCTCTGCCCTCCCCTTGCCAGCCACCACTACCCTAATTAATTTCACGCAATTCGCTCAAAAATTACACAAGAAAAGTTGATAAAACGAACTGAAAATGATATGCAGAGCGGGAAATGGCCACATCTGGATTCTTGGGTCCTGCCAGTTGATTTATGGCGTGCATCTTGGATAATATTAATTTTATGTGACGGCCATAAAAATTACCCGTATGGAAAATTTGTCATTTGCCTTCCAAATGAGAATGAGTTAACGATGTGCGGGAAGTAACTCAAATTTATGTTCATAATTTCCATTAATTGGGATTGGCAGGGAAATGATTTTTGAATTTTCAATGGCTCTCAAACCTTGCCGCGTAGTTACTCTCAAACTGTAAGCTCCAGATCATTAAAAACACTCAAATCTAACCAACACAAAAGGCACTCAATTGAGAATGTACTAAAAAACAACATTTTATAAACATTTTTTTAAGATTTATTTTAAATAAAATTTTAATAAATTTATTACTTAAATTTTTTGATTTTTTCATTAACTACTACATATTTAGTATTATTTATAATTTATGGCTTATTTAAAAAAGTCTTTGTTTCACAATTTGTAACCAGATGTTGGGATAAAAGTTTTATTTTGTTTATTATTAAATTTGATTCTTATTTAGTGATATTTTTCTTTTAATATATTTATTAAAGTTATCAATATTTAATTTTACCTGTAATCAGTACTATATTGTATAGTAAAACCTCCCCACTTGAGTAATTTTTTATCGTTTGAGCTCGGCTTGACCTTTACCGGTTCATAAATTTCTACCCGGTTCGTCTCAATGAGATTATGAGTGGAAATGAGAAATTAGTGTGGCCAGACACAATGGAAAAATTGTAGATTTTTCGAGAAAACAACAAAAAGAAATAAAATTCGTAAATAAAATTAGACCAGAAGTAAAAAAAATAAACAAAAATATTTTGAAGTTAAGTGGGAAATAACGATAAATGTCATCCAACTAGAGTTCACAAATCTGGCAGGTAAACATTAAGAAGACCGTTTTCCACTGGTATAAAAATACCATCTGGTACTTTTTCCCGCTGATCCAGCCAGAGATGGCATGGAACAACATACTGCCTTTCAACCACTACTTTTTTCGACCTTTTGCCGTTAACTACTAGTAGCTATTAACTATTAAACAATTACGCTGGCTCGTGATTGAAGACGCAAATCTGTAGGCGTGCTTAAGTCAGAAAACGAGTGAAAAAATCAGCAGGGTCGGCTTACCGAGTGTCACGCCCAAAAAAAAACAAAAGAGTGGGTTCAAGTGAAAGAAACAAAAAAATTACAACAACAAAATTCTTGTGCGTGTCAAAAAAGCAAATAGTGAATAACAACAAACACAAAAGGGTGACCCTAACGGCGAATCAAATACACATAGCAACAAACAACAACAATAATGGAGGTTAGTGGCGCTGCTCAAGTGTTTAAATTGTTTTTTCATTGATGTTTCGGTGGCTCTCCTTGAATGATTTCATTTCATTTTATTGTTTAAATTGTTTGCTCCGAGTTGTGTTTTCGCTCTCTGGTTATCTCCTCCCCCCATTTGGCTCCGATTACGTCAGTTTGTTTGTCTCTCAGTTGTTGAGTTCTGGAGTTTGCGCTCTTTAACGTTCTCTCTCGCTCAGCCGGCTTCGTCATCGAATATTTTTGATATTTTATTTTACGAATTCCACCCCGTCTCACCTTTTGGTTAATTATTGATCCCCCCCAATCGGTCCATGAGGCTATTAATTTCCATTAATTAATAGTCTGTATTATATCATCGGAAGGCGCTTTCTTTTCCTTTGTTTTGTGTCACAATTTTGGGTATTTAGCATTTTTACATAATGTCTCCGAGTGAGCCTCCTTATCTCGCTGGAACAGCTGTTTGATATTGGCAACCGTTTACCGCTATGTCGCGCGACCTTATCTGGAGAATCGAGTTACTCACCTTACCCCTGAAGTGACGTTCTGAAAGATACCGAGACGTCCCTTCAGATAGTATGTAGTACAGCAATACCTCAACAAAATCGTTAGTTTACTCCAATCGTGGTTTCATGGTCAAAATACGGGGATAAATCTTAGGTTTCTGAACCGGTTTTCTATTAAAATTATCAAGTTTTGAAAGTATTTACCTTTCTAAAGTGGTCTAAAAAATATATGTATATCATATTTTTAAAGTGGTCTAAAAAATATATGTATATCATATGTACATAAATAAAAACATACTCAATATATCATACTCAATATTCAATAAAAACTATATTAAGGTTATAAGATTATTTTAAAAACCCTAAAATTAAAAAGGGTTTAATTTGATTCCTTTCTGCAGAGATTCTTTTAATTAGGTTTTTTGCACTCACCTAAGCCCGTGGGATAATCCCAGTTCTCATTCGCCCTCAATTAAGCTAGCACCACCCCCCCGGCCTAGGGCCCACTCTTCAGCTAACCGGAAGAACTGCCGCGGGGGCGTCAAAAGCGCATTTAACATCGCTGATCTGAGTAATTAATCGCCTTTGCCGGTGCTCTGCCTTTGGTTTCTGGGGACAGATGGACAGCCATCAAAGCAGACATGAAAAGCCATTTCCCAGCCCCGGAATAGGGGCACAGAATAAAAAGCCAAAAGCGAAAAAAGCAACAGAGATGTCGGCCAACATAAAATTGCTCATTTCCGTCATTTAATTGACGGCCGGCACATGAAAATTGACGAAAGACAAAACCATCAGAGACCGCAAACCATCAGATACAACTTGTTGGCCCACAACTGCTTGCCTACAGTGGGTTTCGTGAAGGTAAATGAGTTCAATAGAGGGTAACTAATCCTTATCTATATAATATACACCTGATGGACTCCCACTTTGTTTACCTTTTTTATCTACTCGTCGATATTGGATCCATAATTTATATTTCAATGAGTTTGGCAACAAAGAACTTACTGTACTTCCATAAATAGACCAGCGGAAGATGACACACTGGGCTCACAACCAGGTTCAAGCCAACTCTCTTCAATTAGCACCTCGTTCCGGCCCAGTCATGGCTAAGTGCTGGGCGGCAAAAGTTGATATTATCATCGCCTAATGCCGTGACACGATTAAAGCCTTTTTCCAAACTGTCAGACAAACTTTTTCGGTGAAAAGTTGTTGCCCACTTGGATTTTGGTTGTAAACATGGCCCGCCCTCCTCCTCCGACAGCTGAGATGTTGTGGGCTCTCCTGGTGGCTTAAAACTTCCGAGAGTTCTTCTATGGAAGTGCACCGTCCCACATTTATTACTCGGCGCTGCGCATTTTCATAAATTTCCACTTACTCATCGGGGGGGAGGAGTGAGCCCAAGGGCGATGGGACACGGGATTGTGTCTCCGGCCTTATAACACGCTCCGTTAACCGTTTCTGTTTCTGGCTTGGATGGGCATTACTCCATCATTCGGATGAAACTTTGCATAATTTTCATTTATTACCGCAACAGTTTTTTTTATGAACATTGCGTATTTTTTATGCGGCCCTGTATCTCACCCTCCGGAGGGCCCTTTATACCGTATAGGTTATGATTCCCTGGAAAGTGACTGACAAGGCCTGCCCGCCACTCCAATTTATCTTACAAATTTAATCTTTCACATAATTTTCTCTGCGTGGCTTTCATGTAATTACCTGCCTCTTGCCGCACTTTGTCCTGCATTGTTGGCCCTCCTCTGGGAAAGTTTCCAGCTGCCGCTTTATCTTTTGGCCAATATACATAAATCAGGCATAGCCTTCCCTGCCAGCTTTACGAGCCCAGTTTCCCCCTTTCACTTAATAATGCATTTCGTTCTCCGTCTTTTAATTGCAGGTGAGTTTGATTCGGAGGTGCGATGGCTGGGCACTGATCGAAAGGTCAAACCTACTGTTGGCCACTGTTGGGTAAAGTACGAATGCATCGGCTTCTAGAGTATAATAGTAACAACTGAACTGTTTCTTTTATTCACATGCAAAATTACAAAAATACAAGTGAAAACCCCTCCAGACACGTTGCGCTGTTCGGATTGTGGATTCATAATCTCGGCTCCTCATGACTGATTCATGAGTGGTTGGTCGGTCTCGTCGGGCTTATCACGTGTGGGAGTTCGGGCTCTTACATAAGGCAGTAAATTTCATCAGCGTTTTTAATGAGCCTTTATTACATGGTGACTAACTAGCGCCCCCTCCTACTCTTCTCTGGTTGCATGTGAGATAAAAGTGGCCACACCCTCTATCGGGGGCCAGTATACCTGGCTTTTGGCTTGTGGAGAGCGTTGACAATCTTGAGGACCTTCGCGGCCACGGCCTTCGCGCTGCACCGCCTGAAATCGCCCTGGCATAGTATTTCTATATCTCGGAGTTTCGAGAAAGCCATGTCCCTGTCCTTCTCGATACCCTCCCAATGGTCGTTCTTTCCAAAGTATTCCGGCGCCAGCTTGTCGACGACTCTGCGCGGTACTGGCCTCTGGTCCTCCTGGCGAGGGCGCTTAGCAGTTCGTGGTGCTTCGAGTGTGTCATCGACTCGGAGAGGCGATAGGATCCTGTCCTTGGGCCTCACGAAGTTGGGACCATAGCCCAAGATGTGCCCGTTCCGGGCTTTGCTGGCATGGTAAACGTGCCCGTCGTAGTTGGTCTCCACGAATTTGCAGAACCACTGGCAAAATTCCAAGTTGTCCTGGAAACGTCCCTTGACCAGCCTTTCTACGGGTATCTCCTTGGCCACCGCGACATTCTTGAAGGCTACTTGCAGCAACTTGAAATTCTGCAAGGAATCGTACTCCGTGTTGGTGCGGAACTTGATGCGGTTCATCGGCACAGAGTTGGGGAACATCATGTCCATAAACTGGCAGTAGGCAGCTCCGGTGCAGAGCTCCTCTACCTTTGTGAAACTCGCCTCCAGCAGCTTGTTGACCCACGCAACCATCTCGTGGCGCGACGGATTGTCCACAGTTCCGTTTGTGGCGTACACGTTTACAGCCCTTCCCATGGTCCCGGACATCGTTAACTTTGAATTTTTATTATTGTAATTTGAATTTTTTTGATTTAGCATCTAGATTTTGGACGGTCCTTTCGAGTCGATGTTTTGTAGTAGAAAGATGTTTGTCGGGGAGCTGTTGTTTGAATCTCCCTAAACAATTTTGCATGGATTGCTTGATCAAAAAAATAAAACTAAGAATACTGTAAGCACTTAATAACATTTTGTGCTTTATAATAAAATTGAATCTAAAGCTTCTAAAAATCAAAGAAACCAATTTTTCTTTGGAGGACTTTTTAGTTCTTAGTGAAATTAGTGGATCAAACCATATTTTAATTTGGGATTAAAGGAAATGCTTTTTATTTTTGACTATTTAGGAACTTTTAATATCATTTTATGAAAAAGTCAAGGTCATTTACAAAAATTATAATGGTTTTCTGAACCGAGCTTTCAAAGGGACTTGTTTTTAACCTGGAAATTGTCCAAATGTGTAATCCTGAAAGCGAATCCTTGCCGAATAAGCCACTTTAATTGAAAATCAAAATCTGAAGCTTTAGAATTAAATAGCTTTCAATAAAAAAAATCTTCATATTCAGTTTTTTCCAATGTTTAATGGTACGGATGGCTGTTAGTGAAGAAATCATTGTACTAAATGGCACCTGTATATGTTTTCTAGTGAGATATGCAGTCAAAAATCAAGAAAATCTAATACCTAGCGCGAAATCATGAATAGAGTGATATTTTTAAAATTAAAAATAATGATTATTCATGATTTTTTATCGAAAAGATCAGAGAATAATGATTATTTTCAGATTTCTTTTCGATCATAGAATAATGATTATTTTGTGATTTTTAAAATAAAACTCATAATAATTACAGTCCCTGCTAAAAATCCTAGTGTGTGGTCTAAAATAGATTTTTCTTGATCTATTAGAAAATGGAGCTTCGAAAAAATAATTAATGAATTTAATATCTTGAGATTAATTCATTAATAGATAACATACTGAGGCATTTCCCCGACGGTATAGCATGACACTTTTTACCGAAATTGAGGCTTAAATGCTAAATAACGCAATAATATATGTATGTGCCCCACAATCCCGGCATATATAACATAAAAACCACAACAATCGTTACAATTAAAAAGTTAAATTTCTTAATCTAAAATTTCATAATCATTTTCCTGAAAATTGAAGACTCAGTTATACTATTTTCATATCTTTTTCAATAAACTTGCCCCTACCAAAAATGCCTCTACCATAAAGTTTGATTTGATACTTGCGATACGATACTTACCCACATAGTATGCGCTAATACATTTATTTAAAGAGAGATATTAAAAGAAGAGAAAATATTGTATAATAAATTAACATACAGTGGGGAGCAAATTAGGAACATTTTTAAAATTTTGATTGAGTATTTTGCTCAAAACCCATAAAAGACAAAGGAAATGGTAGTCTTTTTTTCTAAGATTAGGTATTTAACTCATTAAAAAATGGCACATTATTTAAATTCTCAAAGAAGCCATAAGAAAAATAGGTTTATTTTCAATTTATTCTTATTTAACCTTTCAATTCTTTTACAATATATGTATATATTATACAATTATATATATGGTACAGTAGCGGACAATGAAATCCGAGCAGGCAGACAGCGTTTACCTTATACTATAAAGTTTATAGAGTAAATTTGTTTTAATTCGATGAAATTAATATAAATGTCAATCAAAATTGTTTTTCATTTTGTTTTGTTTTTTGGAAATAAAATGTATACTTCAATATTCGATAAAATAAACAAAAATGTAGGCAAAAAAAAAAATATAATTTTGTCAACCATTCCAAGGTAACAAAATTCGTTTGAAAATTATTTCTCAATAGCTTAGTATTTAACGTATTAAAAAATAATTTTGTTTTTGTTCAAAATTTATTTTTCATTCTTGATGGCATAAAATCGATAGTATCGATGCTGAAATCAAATATACTCCCACCTTTAGTCTAAAAAACACAAACCTCGCCGAGAATTTCTCGAATTTTAAAAAGTTCGTTCAACTCGCTGCACTTGCAACTGATTGTTGAAACTATTTCCCGGGAGTTGAGTAAACAAATGGTAATTATGGCCAACACTCCCATCGTGTAAACAGGGCAAGTCAAAGACCCCGTTCGGGGAAAACTGGAGAAAGAGGGAGACAAATGAAAAGTGAGGAAATTTACATGAATTTTTAATTAATTTACATCCAAATTTTGTCTGGCAGCCAACTTTCACTGGTTGACAGTTTGTCATCCCGAGACCCCCACCCCTCGGAGGCAAAACAACCAACAGCCCCCAACCGCCCGCCCTAAACACCATTGTTAGCCACATTCCTGGGCAAAAACATTTGTGAAAACGTGACCCAGAGCCGAGTCACTTTTGAAATTCAAAGTCAAATGTAAACTACATAAATTTCAGCACTTCTCAGCGCGGGAACTGCGGGGTACTGGGTTCCGGGCAGACCATAATTTATTATGATTCTACTGGCTGGCTTATTTGGGCATCTTATTGATGATTGGGGCTCCAGTCTCCAACTGAGAATGCGACGCACGTTTCTCATTTTGTCTAAATGCGTCTGCTGCTCGAATTTCACTTTTTCTCCTCGGGAGGCTCTCTGGCTTTAGCGACATCTGTGCATTATGTGCGGATTCAATTTAGATCGGGAAAGTTGCCTGCCACTGCAACGGAGTTTTCCTTGCCAACTGTCAGTTGCTGCCAACACCCCAGCACCTCCACCCAGTATCCCCACTCCTCGTTCTGTGATGCAGCCAAGCTTTGATATCGGAGATTTCTGGTTGCAACGAGGCGGCAGTGATTTGGCTTCATACCATACTGTGTAATTGACGAGAGCTAGGGGGGATGCATTTACTGGAACTTAAACTATCTCAGAACTTGGTGGGTATCTTCTAGTCCAAACTGCCGCCCTCCTCCACAGCCACTTGTTTTAAATGCGAGTGCATTGAGGCGGAACTATCGACGTCTCAGTTTTCAGCAGTTGCAACGCCTCAGTGAAGGCAGATCCAGCTCAGAACCGACCCCCAGCCGGACTCCCTTTCGCACTGACCAGCTGCGGTCTCAACTTTCCAGAGGACGACCTCCCACGACCCCCGGCCCCTCGGGCTCTAAGCTGCCTGCTGCTGGCATGCAAATTGCATAAAATATGGCCATATAAAAAGCATATTCGTGTTCACTGAATATGCAATCGACTGCCATACTCCGGGGGGAGTTGGCTTTGGAGGCGAACTCCTTTCATCCCGGCATTTTCAGATTTATGCAGGCACTTTGGGGAGCGACAGCGGGATAAATGCAATAAACCATCATGCCCCAAGAAAATAGTGCTGTATGGCTTACAAAACCGACAGTCTATCAGGCAATGAAAGATGTATGACTGCTCGGGAAAGTATTTCCTAAGAGATGGCAGAAAAAAAAACAAACAAATAGAAAGAAATGGAAACGCATCTTTTCACCTTCAGTTTGTGATTTCTGGTTTTCCACGCGACTAATTGTCGAATGGCCATAAAAGTGAGCCCGGTCGCGTTGTAATTAACGTTTCTTGCTCGAAATTTCCTGCTACGATTGCAATTTCCCCTAGTTCCCTTTTCCGACGCATTTCCACGCCAACAGCCGGTCATTAGCCAGGTCCCATCCAGCCGGCTCTTCCCATTTCTTTTACCTGTTTTTGGGACGTGTCCGGCCAACTTTTCATGCACTTTGAGTGTGTGTTTGGGTTTTTTTGTTGTTTAGTTTGCCGCTTCTGTTGAGTTTCCACAATTTTTCCGCTCCGCTCCGCGGGCAATGTGAAATTTTTCGCTGTAAACGTGACCGCTAAACACTCTTGTTACTTCTTCTGCCGTGTGCCTTGTGCCGCTTAATTAAATCGCCTAAGCACCTTGACCACCGCCGCCCAGAGCAGTCACCCGTCAGATACAAAATACTCACCATTTTTGCAAATAACCGAAAAACATGTTTCACATTTCGTCCCGCCATTCGGGGTATGGCACTAAGTAGGTCACATGTGGTCCTCCTTAAGCCGGGGTTAGTCTGGTTCTACCTACCCAGCTGGATTTTGGAAATCTCTAGCAGGAGATCAACTATTTCATTATGTTCTTCCTCAAAGGCTTTAAAACCAGTCATCCATTGCTTTGATTTGCATTTATAAACAACTTTATGGGGCATTTGAAGCTCAACAAAGACCCTTATCCATTCAAAGCTATTCTAGACAAAATCTTTAGAGATTTGCCAAGCAACTGCTTCCCAGTCAGTTTGGCCTTTCAGCTCAACCATATCTCTTGACAAGTACTTGCCTTGTAATTGCACGAAATCCAATGACAGCCAACTACCAGCTGTGGGCGGAGTACATGGCTCCCCAGCTCTGGTTTGGATGGTTTATTTTGTATCTGGCACTACCGTTCCAAGGCCCGTTGCAATTAATGAGCCTGCCACTCCATTACTCCGCTTATCCGGCGTACTTGGAGGCTACAGTTTATGCGCATCGCATCTTCTAATTGGCTCGGGACTTGGTGGCTGACAGATGCACGCCAGTTAACAGTTTTTAATGTGTTGACGACTCGTATCTGACAGATACATTTCGGCTGGATCTGGTTGGCGGTTGCCAAGTTAGCGTCTTGTTTACGCGGTGGATTTGCATGGAGAACAGGTCTCTTTGATGCAAGTTTGATTAGAAGGATCTATTGGCAAACTTTTCAACAAGTATATACCCTACTATTTAATGCCAAGTGTATCTTAAACTTCGACCAACCAAAGAGCAACTTGTTTTCGCTTGAATTTATTTGTCCTCCTCTCCAGATGTGGCAGAGTGTCTCCGGAGTGCCGTGAACTCAATTATTTTTGCAATTACTTTTTATGATTCTACAGTTTACAGTCGCCGCTCCATCTCCAGAGGCCCTCCGCCGCGATTGGACTGAAGCCGAGTGGCCGTGGAGTTTCGTTGAGGGTGTTTGTTCTCTGTCCCCAATTGAAATGTCAACAATCGACTCGATGCCAAGCGAAACGAATCGAGAAGAATCGCTGATTTTAAGCATTAGGAGGAGCTGACATAATCGCCGGCTCTTGAGCTCCACTAGGAAGTGGGTCAGTCGCTGGCATTTAGCTGTATCTATCAGATACACGTACGAGTATCTGGGAGCGTCATCTGCGCCACAAAGTGCCAGCCAAAGTTGGCCATTTGTGGGTTTGTTTTGCTTTGCTAGTACGCTAGTACACTCGGAGTAGCTGTTTGCTGGTTTCTGGCTAAATGGTAGCTGTACCTATTGTGCCCGAAACCGGTTTCCCTTAAAAGCTCTAAGTAAACGTAAACGTAAGCGGCCAAAGAGGAGTTTAAGCCCCGGTTTTATGGCCACTTCGCGGGTCCGTCGCGGTTCCTGGCACTCTGCCCTCCAGGCGAAACCAGTTTTCCATCGTCTTCTGATTTGCCTGCCCGCCCTAAACGCTCTTTATTCGGTCACGCTTAGCTAGAATTTATTTTCCGAAGTTGTTACAATTCTTCAAGTGTCGTTATGTAAATTAGCGACTGTTCCCAGCCCCATGTCTAATGTCGTTTTCGTGGCTTTTCGAGGGGACTTCCGCCCGGCTCCGGCTTGTTTATGGGCCACAATTTGTTGACTTATTTATATTCGGAATCTGGAAGAGTTGCACAACCGTTTCCCACTACGAAATCGTTTAAGTGCAGACACTGCCGACATGAGAGTCATGCCACAGTTGGTTGAGCCTGTCCCCCTACAAACATTGAAAAAAATACTCTATTAACTCGGGGGGATATTCTTAAAGCTTTTTTAGGGCCTACGCCTGTCTATTTTGTAAGAGGTCCTTTGTCAAACATTTTTCTTCGATCCTTAGACATTAATATTCATCAACTCCCCCCCAACCTTTAGGGCCTGTTTATATTGACGATTTTTCTCTCCGTGCCCCTAATTTACATCGCCAACTCTTCAGGCCAACTGGCTCAGTGACTCGACTCGAATCGGCTGGCTGACTGAGTAACTGACTAACTGAATGACTGACTGAGCCATTGCAGCTTGTCTTTGGCCTGGCTCGAAGCGAATGTTGCACGACTCTCGCTGCTGCCGCTGCTGCTGTTGCTTTCGATGTGGTTGTCTTGCCTTAATTCGGTGGTAGTGGTCTGGTGGTCTGGTGTTTTGGTGGGTCTCTTTTGCCAGTCAGTCGGTGGTGGAACGCAGACCCAGTCCCAAGTCGCAACCACAATCGCTGAAAGCGTTGAGCCGTGAGCTGTGAACTGTGAGCTGCAAGCTGTCGAGCTGCATTCATAATTGGATTTGTCATATTTCCGTTGCATATTCGACATATCGATTCGCGCGAAATCTAGAAGCCAGCATGGAGAGTGCCCTCCCGGTGGCCGAGTTCCAGAAGATCAAGCTGCGCCCGGTGCCAAAGGTGAAGCGCCGGGCCCCGCAGCCGCCCGTGAGCCTCCGCCTCAAGCAGAAAAATGTGCGAAAAGAAAAGTGTACTTAAGTAGCCTTAGGTCTCCTTAGGTGCCCTGAACTCCTCCTGGCCACCCCCCTGAACTTTCGCTCTCAGCCGAAAGGTGGACAAAAGTGAAAACAATGGCTGACCTGAAAGGAAAGGGAAAAGGAGAGCAAAAGCGTGGGAAGATTGGCCTGCGATTGAGATCCAACCGTAGCATGCTAGTTTCACTTGAAAAGACACAGCATGATGCAAGATTTCTATCGCCTGGGAAGTGCAGCGAATCATTAAAAAGTGAATTAAAGTCAGACCACAAGTAGTTTTAAGAATTAGGCAACTATTAGAAATTAGACAGACTTTTAAAATATTATTTTATTTATTATTCCAGACTTCAGCCACCACAAAGACAACCACGCTCACCACTCCGGCCAAGTTGTATGGCAAGGACTTGAGCGAGTACGATGATGTGGATGTGGAGAGTCTGCTGGCCCAGCTCTCGGCCGAGGAGATAACCATATTGGCCAAAGAAGTGGATCCCGATGTGAGTGTCCTTTTGTTAACAAAACTTTCCAAATGATGCAATAATGTGATACCTCTTTAGGACAACTTCCTGCCGCCTGACCAGCGCTGCAGCTATGAGTGCACCAAGGACGCCACCGGGCCGCTGAACCGCAAGCAGCTGATCGAGCACATCAACAAGCAGGCTATCGAGACCCCCGATCAGCCAGAGTTCGAGCCATTTGTTCAGGGCAAGGTTCGTGGCAAGAAGTGGGTGCCCCCGCCAAGGGATGCCCTCGACATCGAGGCCGAGGAACAGATCGCCATCGATCTGGGCGAGGAGTACGAGCACGCCCTCAACGACGCCACGCAGGAGGAGATCATCGATCTGGCTGCCATCCTGGGCTTCCACTCGATGATGAACCAGGACCAGTACCACGCCTCGCTGCTCAACAAGGGCCAGCCAGTGGGCACGGGCTGGGACGGCATCACCAAGTCTACGCAGCAAAAGCTCTTCCCCATGGATCCGCCCAACAGCACAGATGTCGAGGAGTCCATTAAGCGGGTCAAGGACGACGACTCCAAGCTGATCGACCTCAACTTGAACAACATTAAGGTTTCACATTAAATCATATTTCCTTTAAAAGCAAACTAACTTTAGTGATTTATCCGCAGAACATCTCGGACGAGAAGCTCGAGCAACTGTTTGCCGCACTGCCTCAGAACGAACATCTGGAAGTCCTCTCGCTGACAAACGTCGGCCTCACCGACAAGACAGCCCTCCTGCTGGCGGAGGCCATCGAGAAGAGCAAAACCCTGAGAGTATTAAACGTCGAGACCAACTTCATCAGTCCGCCCGTGATCGTCAAGCTGGTGCAAGCCCTGCTCAAGTGCCGGACCATTGAGGAGTTCAGGGCCTCCAATCAGGTGAGGGAGCTCTTCTGAAGCCCACCCTTGGGCTTGAAATCTCACTGAGTGCTTTTAAACTAAACCTCTTTTCCTTTCAATAACGCAGCGATCTGCGGTGCTGGGCAACAAGATCGAGATGGAGATCACCGACCTGGTGGAGAAGAACTCGTCGCTGCTGCGCCTCGGCTTGCACCTGGAGTTCAACGACGCCCGTCACCGTGTGGCCGCTCACCTGCAGCGCAACATCGACAGAAGTAAGTTGACCCCGGGGGTTTGCCCTTGTGACCCTGCCACTCCGCTGGGTTGCATCCCCTCCCATCGATCAGCAGGCGATCAGCGTTGGTCTCCGCGTTCTCCCCTCGCTAGGATTGAGTATCCATTAGGTATTTTATTGATCGAGTTGCCTCACTTGCGCGTTTAGGTGAATTGCAACAAGGTATGTTAGCCAGCAGCATCAGCAGCACCGCCTCCACCACCACAGCTTCGTCATCGTCACAGCCACCATCTTCACCCAGCCTCCATCCCGATCATGCTGCTGCCAAGGCAGCCAAGGACACCTCGCCCACGCGGGCCAAGTGCCTGGCTGCCTTCGAGCAGTTCATCAAGGCGCGCACCTTCACCGATCCGGCAGATACTGTATCTCTTGGTTTGCCACCGGCAGTGCGCCTTGTGCGCAATCTCCAGGCATCCTCCTCGCCGGGACCCGGTGCCGAGAAGAAGATTTGAGCCCGTTTGGTAACCAAGCTCCAAGTTGTTGTTGCCACAGTTGCGTCTACCCCTCGACCCACTATTCTCAAACTTTTCTCTATAATTATCTCCCGTTTGTATGTGTGGTAACCAGGTAAACTGTTTTCGGCCTTCATCAGCCCATCATCTGTCCAGTTCCAGTTCCAGATCCAGATTCAGGTCCAGATCCAGGTCTAGAACCAGATCCAGATAATTCTGGTTTAGCATTAACCACATCGTTCTCCATTCTCACATCGTTTCATCAGCCTTCGTTGCGTTTCGTTCTCGTTTTCGTTATCGTTCACGTTACCATGTTATCGTTCGTTCTCACCTGTCGTTCTCGTTCACTGAGTGTCGTACCTGGTTAAGGATTCCATAAGATAGACTAAGTCGGTGGATGGGTCGAAAAAAGTAGAAGCACCCTAGACCTCAGCTAGTTGCTACTATTTTGATTAAAGTTACACACATTATATGTAAGAAGAATCAGTGCGTATATCATTCTTCCATGTCCAGTCCATGCTAACTCAATGTTTGTCCCCTAGAGTAGAGAACGGATCTCGCTAGCTGGGATCCTCCGATGTAATTATTCTCTGTGCCTCCTCCCTCGTCCACCCTCGTCTCTCTCTATCCGTCTCTTGTAATTACCATAGACTGTAATAGTGACCTGCCAAGATATAGAAACATTAACCAATTATCCACTTGTCTGTTGTAAATGGCAACTCAACTCAACTCGAACTCTAAACACGCAACTCAACAACTACAAACGATCGGTCGCAGTCTTCCGGGTTCAGAAACTCAAACCGAATCTGCCCAAGCTGATTCTGCCCGGGAACATGGAGATTGAACGCGACCTGGTGAGCTACCACCGATCGGCCACGCCCACTCCGTCGCCGTCGCCCTCGCCGCAACCGCCGGCGGACGATTACGATGTGGAGGTGGATCCAGATAACATGGTGATCCGCGGCGGCGGCGGAGACGCCTTCGATCCGGAATTCGACCCGGACAACATGGTGGTGCCGGGCAGTCGCTCGGTGACCCCGAATTACGACGACGAGGGTGTCTACCAAGCGCACACGTGAGTGAGGGGCCGCACCACCGGAGCCACTGAAAGCCACAGAACACCACCACCACAACAGCCACCAGAATCCACAGAAACCACAATTGCGAGCCATGTACAGACAGTCATTCGATCCACTTTCGCCTTGTCCTTTTCGTCTCATTGGTTATGTAACCTCGATGTTGTCGTTGTTGATGTTGCCCGAAAATGAAACCCAAACCGAACACCCCTGTGATCTTGCAGACCAAGAACTTGTACATACCCCGAAGAATACACTGAGAAAAAGCCCAGAGACAGTTGCAAAATTGCCATTTATATTTTTGTTAAAAAATGTCCTTATTGTTTAAAAAGTAAAATATAAATGGCAAGGTTGTTGAATTTGTATCCCCTGTGCAGAAACCGAAGACCGAGTCCAGCACATAAACTCTTAGTTAATAAATAAATGTTTTCCATGTCGTCGTTGTCAGTCGCTTGCCTCATCACACCCGATCCTTGTAAATAATATGATCAGGATCCCCCATCACTCAGATCAGTTGCGTGCTACTAACCCAACCACACACACGCACACCCATAGACACACTCATCGCAGCACTCTTTGTTTTGTATCTTGTATCTTTCTATCTCGACACGAAAAGCCCAAGAAAAGATGTGCCAACCACAGAGATCAGCCAACAGAATCCAGAAAACAGTATTCGAGACAGTCAAAAGTCAAATACTATACGAAAGCCCCACGATTATACTCTATATGTTATGTTCCTTTTATTTATTGTCCTATCTGTATCACCCTTGTTTATGTGTCCTATTCTCTCTTTTCCCCTCTCTGTTTCTCGTTTACAGTAAGAAAAGATCTTGAGTTGCGACTGCAGTTCAGATTTTTCAATAATCTGCACAGAAAGTCAACAAGAATTCAATAAGCAGACCAGAAAGCAAGCAACTAAACCATTTTTAAAGCGTTTTGTAATCTAAACCCAAGAACCGAAGATAAAAAACATAAACCCATAACACCGAGAGAACGTGTATAATATAATACTTGTATAATGAAGAAGGACAAAGCAGGAGCAGAAGTTTAAGATAAAGATAAATCAGCCCCCGAGCTCGGAAATAATATATATCTATATACTCTAGAGAGACTTAACTAAGCACAGCAAACTGAAACCAAAGAAACGAAGTGAAATATCAAAACTATATACCTATACTTAACAATTATATAACGTTAAAGCGCAGTTCAAGCAGGCCCATCTAGATCGGGCTCTGTTCGAACTCGAGGCCTGTTTTATAATCCAGCAGAACAAACGTTTAGGCGACACGTATATACTTTTCTCTAAAGCTTGACACAGGTATCTATGAGCACGGATTCTCCTTCAACTTCTTCAAATTTCAATTCTTCTGCTAATCACGTTGTTGCAACTTGCAAAATAACCAAAGCCACCAAAAAATATATATATAGCTTTCTAGCCTGTGCAGCTTCGAATAGAGACAGTCTTTAAACTGCATTTGGCTGAATGTTTCCATAACTCGATAATATAGATAATGACTGTAAACTAAAACAGGAACTTGCCAAGTCCTTGCAAATTAACCAAAGTTTTCTATTTGATTTAAAATATTATTTTGTTTGCAAGGGTTTCCCAGTCTTCGGTCAACCGAAGCCCATCTTACCTTTCTGTTTGTAATGATCAGTCATGAACACTTGCATTATGAGTACTTTAGTTGTTCACTGTTTGATTTAACCATCTTTTGCATGATTTCATTATTTGTGTTGCACTATTCCCATCCAAACATTTGCATGTTGTGTGTTAACCAGTCAGAACACAATCCACACACCTAACCACTTTTGAAGTGAGCGAACCAGCTCTAATGACGTTCTCTTCGTATAGGAATTAAACTGCGATGTATGATCTAAGTGAATACCCCAGATCCGAATCAAAGTAAACCATAATCCCCAACAGCAAGCATAAAATGTTTTAAGACACTTTTGTGATTCAATAAGAACCAACAACTAACAGCAGAAAATAAAACAGCAGCACCACCGACATCAGAGCCATGAATATATAAAAAATATAAAACTCGATCCTGAAATAATAGTGTAGCTCTGCATTCGGCGCAGACGAACAGTTGGTACCCTTCTGTATACTTGTTGTTTGATCGTTTTTTAAAGTGTGCGATTCTGTAGCTGAAAAATAGCCCCCTAACCATATTAATAAAATCCGAAAAGCTTATAGATATGATAAGAAAATCGCATTTATAAAACCGAACAATTTCGGGGATGCCTTGAATGTTGTATCTTCCCCCTGACTGAACCCTTATTTACATAATTGATTGATTGAACGAATTTGAAACTAACCAAACGACTAAAATTGTTGAATTCCTCTCTATTTTTCACTCTGTGCCACCACTTGACTAATGCCAAAAATTTATTTGTTTCTTCTCTTCCCAACCCACCCACGCACACACTCGATCCTTCTGTGTTTGTGTTTCCAGTACGTGTGAAACGCCTCAACCAGCGTAAATAAAAAGACAAAATCGAAAAATAAAAAGAAAACAATTATATAGCAGCAACCAACAACAAATTTAAGCTACCACCACCACCACCCAAGAACAAAATCAAGCAGAAAGCCATCTACTATGTGTGTGCATTCGTTGTCCAACTCTTGACTACCAAATTAACAAGCAATCCAAGCCAGAACACCAACAGCAACCAGAACCAGAACAACCACGAATACAACAACCGCGGCAACAAATCTACAAATTTCTATCCAACCTATTCTCCCACCAAGAAACAAAGTCCTATTGTGAAACCCGAACCAATCTACCAACCAAATGTGAACTAACACCGAAGAATGATGTGTGACATGATGTACGTAAAGTATTTAGACAAATAAATGAGTCAAGAAAGTAAATAATAATTTCACAATCTAGAGTAATTTCATCTACAGTAGTTACGTAAGTTTTTTTCTTTCGAATATATAAAAAAACGGAAATAAGTCTCCAAAAGGACATTTTACAAGCTTAGTTCTATAGACTATTGAGCTTACTTCCGGTTTTAAATTTTATAATTCAAAATCTTCGATTTTTAGAATAGTATCTTAATTTTATTTTTTATCATAAGTAATCATAAGTTAACACCTAAGTTCCCTTGGTGACCCCGAAAGCAAAATAAAAGCGTCAAGTTTGGCGCCTCAATTGGAATTGGACGAAAATAAAGCCTAACTGGCCCGGTAAATATTTATGGACTTTAGCCATTGGTTAGCATCTTTTTAGGTTAGTCTTAAGCCAACAACGGCAGTATTTCTGTTGACACTGTTGTCAGTTCTGTGCGTCATGCCCAAGAAAAAAATAATTAAGACATTTTATAATTATATCTACCCTAGAATCTAGAGCTAACCGATTTGGTGTTGCCTTTCCTAACAGTCAGCAAGAGGAATTATTCGGATCAAGTTACTAATCCCGCTTCCGTGTGTATTTTTCAGTTGGACGTCAACGTCGCATGGGACATCTGAGCAGGAACTACACCATTGGCGTCTGGCAGTAGGATGTATTGGATTTGGAGTCTATAAAACAACAAAAAACAAAGTGTTTTCATACTTGTTGCTGTACTCACACGAAGCATTGTTTAGTTGTTCTGTTTAGTGTTTGTTGCGTTCTTCAGATTGATGATTTCGGTTCGAGTTTGTGTTCGGTTCACCATATAAGCATAATCACATTTGTTTGTTACGAGTTAGGCGAATTGTCATTGAAACCCAGGATCACACACGTACACATTGGTATCTGCTTGCATTTGGCAGCTGATTCTTTTTAAAATAATTCTTTCCTTAAGCACTTCTTCACATTTACGCTGTAGCTTCACACACGCCCTCTGCGCCAATCATGTTCTTTATTTTAATTTTATTTTATTCGATATAATTTCCATTCTGTCCCCGGTTTATCCCCCAGATGGGATAACGATTCTAAATTTTAGTTTTAATTGTGTTTATATCCAAATGCATATACATGATACACACACATACACATAAAAATACATAATACTTATATACACTTTATATATATATGATACATATATAGCCATGGTCTCTAAAAACAATTTACTGCTATTGAATTATGAAAATGCTTAAACATAAATTTAACTTATGGTTAAACACACAAAACAAATGAGAAACAAACAATTGTATAATGTAATGATATATCTTACTTTATATGACATAATGCAATGCTTTTAAAATACAATTTTTAAAAATCATGTAAAAACTTTAAAATTAAATAAAAAAAATTATAAAAATACAAAATATAGATGGCTTTTTGTGGTTGGGAATTAAAGGTTTTTTAAGGAAAGAGTTTTCTTTTTATGACACTTCACTCTCTTTATTTATCTCCCTCTGATGTTAAATTGCACAATTAAAGATAGTTGGTAAACTTCCGTTCCTACTTTTAATCTTTAAAAGTCAGCCGTAAAGATAAAATCGGATTATACAGTAGCTGGTAAACAGCTTCTTGATAACTGAATTGTATCGCCCTTCATCTTTCCTTGATGCGTATCTCGAGTCACTTTCGATTATTAGTCGAGATGCGACACCGAGTACCTGATGCTCTAATCACCGCTGGATAACTGAACATCAATATTTACCCGGGGAATGGGAGTGTACACTCAATCGACATCTCAATTCTCCATACCTGGCGCTTTGATTAATGGAAAAATTTCGATTATCAATGGGGACACTTGTGCCAGTTGGCAGGCCGAGAATTCGAAGGCAAACAAAGGGGTCTAGTCCATTGTCGAGACCCCGACCGCTGCCGAGTGGAGTGTAGAGTTTGGCGTGTTTATGGAAGCGCTGTGGATATAACTGAAACATACAACCTGTATCCCTCTTCCACTCACGACACGCGTCGGAATCTGGGCAAACAGCCTCCCGAGATAAGAGCGCGTGACGCAGCCGCCTGGAGCATCAGGCTTATCGGGCGTGTCTTGCCCATCGCATCAGTCCATCAGTTCCGTCGCAGTTCTTGTCCAGAATGTCCACGTTGGAGAACGAGGTCACCTTCCGCAAACAGGCGGAGGTGAGTCAGAACCTGGAGGCGCAGTTCCACAGCTCCTTCTCGGACTTTATTCTCATCACCGATCATCGCACTTCGAAGAGCAAGAGCCTGGAGCAGTTGGAGGCCTCCAAGGATGCGGATGATGGCACCTCCTGCTGTGCCAAGTATGCCAAAAATATATTCCGGATGAAGACTCTCAAGCGGCGACTCCCCTTCCTCACCTGGCTGCCTCATTACAATACCCGTGACTGCATCGGCGACCTTATAGCCGGATTCACTGTGGGACTCACAGTAATTCCCCAGGGTCTGGCTTACTCAGGCGTAGTGGGATTGCCCCCCGAGGTAGGTATCTTTTTCGAGTCCTTGGAACTATAGTTCTAAAATACAGAACTCACTTGGTGATATGGTTATTATATCATGTTCCAGTTAAGATAAGTACTCAAGGTGCTATGCAGGAATAATAATTCATATTTTTCACCTTCAGTATGGCCTCTATGGCGCCTTCATGGGCTGTTTCGTTTACGTCCTTTTGGGAACATGCAAGGATAGCACCATTGGCAGCACCGCTGTGGCCTCGTTGATGACATTCCAGTTCGCCCAGGGCTCCTGGCAAAGATCTGTGCTGCTGACCTTCCTGACTGGCATTATTGAAATTCTGATGGCCATCTTCAAGCTTGGCTGCCTGGTGGAGTTCGTTTCCGGCCCAGTTAGTGCTGGATTCACCAGTGCTGTGGCTCTGATTGTCTCCACCTCCCAAATGCGATCGATGCTGGGCGTAAGGAGCGAAGGCGACTCCTTCCTAGCCACCTGGATCAGCATGTTCAAGGACATCAATAATGCGCGAGTGGCGGACACGTGCTTGGGCTTCGGATGCGTGTTCCTCCTGCTCGCCATGCGAAGTCTGGGGAAACTTAAAATTGGACCTAAAGAAGAGACCAGAAAGAGTAGTTTCCATAGAGTCTTCAACCACGTGATCAAGTTCCTCTCCACCTCGCGAAATGCCTCGGTAGTTATTCTCTTCACCCTCATCGCCATGCACCTGGATGCTAAGGGAACGAACCCATTCCGACTCACTGGAGAGATCCCCAAAGGAATGCCTTCGTTTTCGCTGCCACCGTTTTCGATTGAAGCCCAGCCCGGAAACGAAACGGCAGGTATTCCTCCAGTACCCGGACAGAACTTCCTTCAAATGGTTCAGAGCATGGGCTATGGATTGGTTATTGTGCCTCTAATGGCTCTTCTCGAGACCATGTCCGTCTGCAAAGCCTTTGCCAAGGGAAAGCAGATCGATATTACCCAGGAAATGATCGCCTGCGGAGTGGGCAACATAGGAACCTCCCTATTCTCCGGATATCGATGCAATGGCGGATTGGCCCGATCGGCGGTAAATAATGCCAGTGGCTGCCGCACCAATATGTCCAATCTGTACATCGGTGTGATTGTGGTTCTGGCATTGAATTTCCTCACCGATTACTTCGCTTTTATTCCCAAAGCGGTGCTAGCGGCTATCATCATCTCGGCGGTCATCTTCCAGGTTCAGTACCAGGTCGTCACGCCCATGTGGCGCAGCAAACGTAAGTCCAGACATCCATCGGGAGAGTATCTAACCATACAAGTGACTATACATCCTTTTAGGTTCCGATTTAGTGCCTGGTATTCTGGCCTTTGTCACTTGTCTGGTTTTACCTCTGGAGATTGGCATTATGGTGGCCATCGGAGTCAACCTCCTCTTCATCCTGTACTACGCCGCTCGACCCAAGGTAACCCTCGAGCAACTGGAGACCCAGCAGGGCACCCGTTTCGTGAAGATCACCCCGGATCGTTGTCTGATTTTCCCCTCCGTGGAGTTTGTGCGGAACATGGTGCTCAAGTCCGGCAGCAAATCCACCCTGCCAGTGGTCATCGATTGCACTTACATCTACGCCGCGGACTATACTGCCGCCAAAGTAATCTCCTCCTTGGTGGATGATTTCCGGCGCCGTCACCAGAAGATTATATTCTTCAATCTGAAGCCCAGTGTTGTGAGCGTGTTCGAGGGCTTGAACACGAAGCTGGTCCTGTGCTACAACACCCATGCTCTCAACCAGGAACTTAGGTCAGACGATGCCGATCTCAATAGATCCGTGGACTCCTTGGACCGAACAGAATCTGGTAATGGCACCAGTGAGTGTGTCAGCATGGCCAGTACCCTTTCTTTGGCCAGGAGTTAGTATAACAGCGATTTGAATAAATTTAGTTAGGAGAACCCAAAAGTTAAACTTAAATTCTAATTTTATTTAAAAACTTAAAAAATAATAATTTCAACTATGATTACTGGACTATATGACTATATGACTGTTTATTACATTAGTTTCATATTTATTAAGAATTTTTGTAAGCTTAGCTACTTCCAGAATTTCTTCATCGACATGTTTTTCTCGGAGTCCTTCATCATCACTTTGGAGACGGCCATCTCAAAGTCCTCCTGGGTGACGTGCACTCGTCTTTCCCTCAAAGCGTACATCCCTGCCTCAGTGCAAACTCCTTTGACCTCCGCTCCCGAAGCTCCTGGCATAAGCTCGGCGATTTTGCGCAGGTTGATGCCCCTCGTCAGATTCATCTTGCGGGAGTGTATCTTCAAGATATCCAAGCGGGCCTCCTCGTTGGGCGGCGGGAACTCAATCTTGCGGTCGATGCGGCCGGGTCGAAGCAGAGCCTGATCCAAGACATCGATCCTATTGGTGGCCATGATCACTTTGATGTTTTTGGTTGCCTCAAAGCCATCCAATTGGTTGAGAAGCTCCAGCATGGTGCGCTGGACCTCTGAGTCTCCAGTTCCCGTTTCCAATCGAGCAGACCCAATGGAGTCGATTTCGTCCATGAAAATGATTGACGGAGCATGTTCTCTGGCCATGACGAAAAGCTCTCGCACCATACGCGATCCCTCGCCAATGAATTTCTGAACCAACTCCGATCCGGAAACCCGGATGAAAGTGCATTCCGTGTGATGGGCGACGGCGCGGGCCAACAGAGTCTTCCCTGTGCCAGGTGGACCGTAAAGGAGTACGCCTTTCGGCTGAGCTATGCCCAGGGCATCAAATAGCTCCGGGTGTTTGACCGGCAGCTCTATTACCTCCTTGATCTCCTGGATCTGCTTGTCCAGCCCACCCACCATTTCGTAAGTGGAATCTGGAACCTTTTCCACCAACATGAGGGAAACCAAAGGATCCACCTTATTGGGCAGGATCTTGTGAAGAGTGTAGCTTTCATTTCTCAGAGCCACTCGACTGCTCGGCGTCACATCCTTGATATTGATGGATTTGTCCACATCCACCACATATTTTCCTTCCGGATGGACCTTTACTAGCACCTTGTTTTTGTCCATGGGCTTCACCACCTCGCCAATGTAGCTACCATGTTCCTGGAGTAGTTGCAACTCTTCTCTTAAAAGCCGAACTAAAAATAGAAAATTATACAAAGAATATATCACTTGAAAAAACTTACCCTTTGAATTAAGTTCATTGCGTTGGGCCTGCAAACGCAGCAAATCCTTTTGACGTTCCATAACTATAAACTGCAGCTCAGAAATTTTCTGGGTAAAATACGAATGAAATCCAGGTCCGTTCCCATCTTTATCAGAAGTACCAACATCGACATCCATCTCTTTGGTTCTAGCGATTCTTTAATTTTTTAAAGACAAGCAGTATCGCACTAAGTATCCTGTCCTAAAAAACCTACGCCTGTTGAATTTAATCTTCAAAATATTCTGCTCTACAATTTCCAAAAAGAAACAGAATTCTTGTTAAATTTTGGTAATATTTTGAAAAGGAACTGAAGCGGGCTGGCTTACTGAGCTTTCAAAGATGAGACAACAGTTTTTGGCTAGTGGTTGTGTTTTTTCTGACAAGTTTTGTAATGGTAGGGTGACTGAATGACTGCCAACTTGGTTAATTTATAAAAAGGTTGAGAAACCGACTACCACTTTTACGTTAAAAAAGTGTTGGAAAAGATTTAATTTTTATAAACGTTAAAGTTTGTCGTTATATTTAAAAAAATATTAAATTTTATTAACTCCTAAATATATATTAAATAAATTCCTAAATAATACATATTATACTTTGAATACATCAACAGGTCTATGTTTAGGATCCTATAAAACCTTCTTAGGATCTCTTCATCTATTTAAGCTCCATAATTAGATTCATTTATTTATTTTTAAAATTAAAAAGAAACAAATGTGGATTATAGTTCCTTTTTAAAAATTGTAAGGTTGATAAAGTTACAAATCCTTTAGTGCCTTAACCACTTGTAGGTGATGAAAAACTTCTCATACATTGCATGTATATTGAAAAATTAGAAGTATTTCAAAAAAGACACTTTCCAAGTTTTTTTATTTTATTCCAATTTATGCCCTTGCCCAGACCAATAAAAATTTCACAGCCTTTTCACTTATCATATTTACTTGATTTATTTAAGTAGTTAAGCTAATACTTTTAGTTCGCTATTCACACATAATAATACTAAGCACGGCGGCAATATCGCGGGTGGGAGCTGATTTTGACTTAAGCTCTGACTCTGGTAGTTCGCTCAGCGAAATTCAAACTGTTTCGTCAGAGACCGAATAAATATGTGCAGATATCTGCGGTATCCGCAACTTAAATGCTAATTAAGTGAGCTAGCCACATGGAATGGTACTTTCAACTAAGGCGATGTGCGTGGGCCGACCGCCCTTGCCTTGCGATTGAGTCGCTGGCCTCGCTGGCAAACTAACTAAACTAAGCTAAAACAGAGACTAAGCTAACACAGAGACTTAGGGCGAGTCTTAAACTATCGTATGTCGAGGTTGTAGCGTTGATCACGGACAGAACCCATGGGAAACTCTCTTCTAGATGGGCGTCTTCTCCGCCAGTTTGGCGTGGAGTGTGGTGATGTCGTATATCACCACCAGATCCTTGTTGAGGCCTTCGAAGACCTGCGCCACACGAGGCTGCAGATTGTAGAAGAACAGGGGCTGATGGCGCTGCTCAAAGTCCATGACCATGGTGGAAATAACCTTGGCGGCGGTGAAATCGGCTCCATAGATGTGGGTGCAATCGATGACCACGGGCAGAGTGGATTTCACACCCTGTTTATTGATCACCTTGCGCACAAACTCCATTGAGGGGAAGATCAGGCAACGATCTGGGGTGAGCATCAGGTACTTGAGACCACTTGTTGTCTGTAGAATATATAATAAAATTTAATTTTAATAAATAAAATAATAAAGAACAAATAAATTCATAATACTATTAAATCATTTACTTGAATGATGAATTAACAAAAAAAAAAATTGAATAAAACTTAAGACAAAGAATAATAAACAAAAGAGTATTACTCATAAACTACATTTTAAAATTTTATAAAAGTTGCAAAAATTAAAAAAGTGTTTTAAGTTTTAGTATTGGTAATATTTAACGAAAAGTTGTTTTGATTTTTAAAAAATATTGACAGTGAGCGAAGAAGTTCAGCGATTCGCCAATAGGTACGTGGAAAGGCTGGACCGACATCCTAACCCTGAGGCCATCAATCTTATGGACAACAGCTACACCACAAGGAGGCTGAAACGGACCCACCCATTGGACCTCTGCCACTCGGGCGAAATAACTTGAATTCTATCGCTAAGGTTTACTGTTAAAATTAGTTTCCTAGGATAAGCAAACATTGTACTACTCAATATTTCATTAAGTTAAGGTCCCATTATAAAATTTAATTATTGTCCATATCTCCGGACAGATTTTAAATATAACTATTGATTGATTGATAATAAAAAAAAAAAAAAAAAAAAAAAAAATATTGACAATGCTGTTTTGCAATGTCCTGCTGAGAACTTTGTATTTCTATAGCATACTTTTAGACCCTGAAAGCTCTGAAATAAAATATTCAGATGACTCACCGCCAGAGTTTCGATCCGCAACTTGGGTCTGGCTGCCTGATATAGAATAAAGACCACATTAATGCCAATGCCCACCAGGATGCCCAATTGCAATGGCAATACCAAGCAGGCGAAAAAGGCTCCCAAACCGGGAATGAGATCGGTTTCTAAAGTAAAGAAAATAATTTATTTATAAAAATTGTTGAATAATTAAACAGTAGAGACTCACTTTTGCTGTGCCACATGGGCTTGATCACACGGTATTGGATCATGAAGATCACAGCTGCAATAATGATCGAGGCGAGTGCCGCTTTGGGAATATAGTAGAAGCAGGGAGTGAGGTAGAGCAGGGCAATGATGACGATCACACTGGTGTACAGATTGGACAACTGAGTCCTTACGCCACTGGCATTGAGGATAGCGCCCCTGGCCACGCCTCCGTTGCTGCGCAGGCCCTGGACAAAGGAGTTGGCCACATTACAGACTCCAGAGGCAATCAGCTCCTGAGTGGCGTCCGTCGGCTTGCCGTCAGCTGCAGGGGAAAAACATAAAAAGATAAAATCACATTAGTTTAGAGGCGCAAAAAGTATTTCCCAAAAAAAATGCAAATTTGTGACTCAACTTCGAATGACGACATGGTTGGAATATAAATTATTACTTTAATTATCGTGATCATGTAAATGCGTGTCTGCTGACAGCGTTATTACAAATTTAATTGAATTCAATTTAAATATTACAATTTAAGTAGCCAATACCTTTTAACAATAATAAAAATTAGTTAATGATGCGATAAAATTAGAAAATAGGCATAAAATTGAAAAATTAGATAAATTAGAAAATAAACAAATTTTTTAACTTCATATATTAAAAATTATCCAGGAAAAGTAAAAAAAAAACTTCCTATTTATTAGTTTTAATTTTAAAAATCAAACTCACCAAATGCTTGAACGACAGCCATTGTCTCCAGAAGAGCAATTAATGGAACCACAATTAATCCGGATCCCAAGGTGCTGACCATATCCCAGAAGCTCTGGCCATCCTCCAGGATCTCGCCAGTAGTTTCATTCAAAACAGGATCGATATGGAAGGGTGGTGGTTGAAACGAGGGCATTCCCTTGGGCACAAAGCCAACTGTCTTGACGAGATCCTCCCTTCCGCTCAAGGACAACCAGTATCCAAGTCCTGCGGTTCCACAAACCAGAAGAGCATTTCGGGCGGTGCCAATGGTCCAGAAAATTCCAGTAAACACTTTTTGGGATGAGGACTTGCCCTCCTTGGGACCCAAGCTGAAACTGGCCAAGGCCCTCAGACTCAGCAGGAGGGTGATGCAGATGAGTCCCAGGATAAAGTCTGGCCAGCTGATGTTGTGGATATCGTTCACAATGCTGATCCATACTTGCAGGAAGGTATTGCCACTGGTCTTGATACCCAAGAAGTCCTTCATCTGTGAGCTGAAGATGATCAAGGACACGGCACTCGTGAAGCCAGCTCCAACAGGACCCGAGACGAAATCGATTAGGAAACCAAGTCGAAAGACGCCCATCAGGATCTCTATGAGTCCTGTGAGGAACGTGAGCAACGTGGCCATTTGCCAACTGCCTCCAGCGATTTGGAAGGACAAAAGGGCAGATATAGCTGTGGGTCCAATGGGCACATCCTTGCTGGATCCGATGAAAATGTATATGAAGCATCCCAGGAAACAGGCGTACAGGCCATATTGCAGATCGAGTCCTGCTATTCCAGCATAGGCCAAGGCCTGAGGAATAACTGTGAGGGCCACCGAGATACCCGCCACTATATCTCCGAAAATGTAATCCTTTTTGTACTGAGGCAACCAGACCAAAATGGGGAATCGCTTGTACAAGGTCTTCTTGCGGAAAATATTAGACCAGAGATTCGAGCAGCAACTTTGTGTGGACTCCAGACAGCTCTCCTTGGAACTCTGATCCTCTTGGACGATGCAGTCCCTGGAAGTGTGGTACAGAGTGTTGGTGGGTATGTCCAAGGATACCTCGGAACCACCACTGAAGCCATTGTTGGTGTGACCTCCTTCGTTGCTTGGATTCATTTTGATTTTTTCTTGGAACTATTCTATTTTATTAGGGTTTTTTTCAATTTTTTCTTCTTTTCTTTTCTAGACGCCTCTAAGGCTTCATGGCACTCTCACTTGACACTGAAACCGTGATCTTACAACGATGTATACCAAAGACCGAACCGATCGCGTGGCCATCCACTGCGGGAATGATTTGAAGCCGCAGAAAGAGCAGAGCTAACAACCGCCCGCCTGCTGGGAACCGATTATAAATAGGCATCGTCGTGGGTCGCGAATCGCGAGCGCATTCGAGACTATCCGCCGGCTTTCATTAGCTCCCCGATCCCCGCGAGATTCTCTCAATGTACTTCGCTCTATCTCCAAACCGGCTACAGGGGATCGGAGCTGTAAGATCGGGACTTTTCATCTTGGCGGGGTAGTCGTGTAGCCACCCAAAGAAATGGAAATGACGCAGCCGCATCGGTTACTTGCCGAGTGGGAGGAAACATGGGACAGGCCCAAAGTAAGACAACACTGGTGGAGAAACCGAAACATAGCCCATCCCCAAGTATATCATTATTTATTATTTACATCAATAAAATGGGAAATTATATAAGATTTTTAATGAATATAACACTACATAATTTCTGAATCTTAATGAGGCTAGCTCCCATGAGAGAGACTCCAATGAAATGTTCAATACTATGTTTAAAATGTGTGTTTTATTATTAAATAATTTCAAGAATGCCGAGTCAAGTAACTGTAATAATAGTTAACAATACATTCTAGTATCCATTTCAATTACAGATCGAAGATGTTTTTTCTTGGGGAAACACTTGTTAGCTTTGGAAAATCAACAATTCTTGTTGTTATTTTTCCGCACGTGCTGGCACCGAACATGGGAACCGCATTCATTGAAATTACAAACAATCGAGAAATGTATTTTATTGCATGCGAATCGATCGGATTTTCACACCCTGGATTCGTTTATAAGCGATAGAGGCCGGGCTTAACAGGTTATTCGTCTTCCCACAAGTTTGCACAGTTCTCAGGTTTTTTAAAAAAACTTTAAAGAAAATCAATTTCAATAATAACTATTGAAATGATCCTGTTTTTCTTGAGGAAGGCGTCAGTTTTTTATTATTGTTAATGAATAGAAAAGTACACTACTGATTTACGATAATCTTTCATACAAGTGCAAATTTTCAAAAGTTTCCAGGCCGAATATTGCCAACCTTTGTCAGATGTTCTATATCTTTACGATCGGGGTAATCGCGTGCTACCATAGCTTGTCGACACGGGAAATCAATCAGCCGTAGAACCAGAGTGCATATAAATCAGTATGAGGAGTGAGCTCTATAAATCAAGTGTACGACCGAGATAAAGGCCGGAATTTGTCGGTACTTCGCAGTGCTCAACTATTTTGGCATCACATTGAACCGGTTAACTTGTCAAACTGTCCGTCAAACACTGTGCTGATCGAATAAATAATTTAGCAATTAAATGTATAATTTTATTACCATTTGATGGAAGCCCCTTACCAGAGCATTGTCACTGGACTGGTTGGTTTTTGAGAAACACTTCTGGTTTGGACCTTCCCATTTGCATCACGACAGTTTTCTGCAGAATCCGAAACTGGCTTCGTGTGTTGGGGCTTTTTTTAGGGATTTTCCTGAAAAGCACGCTATAAATGCATGACATTTGACGTGTTTGTTCGGGTCAGACCGCAAACCTGCCGAAAATGAGGCTCAAAGGCTGCTGGTGGGCTATTAATCATATAACTAGTCATTTCCAGTCTTCTCCCCAAATGGGAAACACGCGTCAGCCGGGTGATCAGTGGATCAGCAGAATCAAAAACGAATGGGTTACGAACTACGATCCAAGTAGACTAATGAAAATCAGACAACTTTTACAGGGATTAGATCGAGGTCGAAGATTGCTTGCCCTTCTCCGGGTAGTTTCATAGGGAAAAGTATCCCCACCTTCTCTTGGGGTTTTCAGCACTCAATTCTCATTATATAAACCACAACAGCAGTTAAATTAATAGTAATTATTATCTTTCACTGATTTGTAGTTGTTTATCTTTCAGCTTGCGGTTTTAACTTGGAGTTACATTTTAGGACATTTCTTACGTCAAGTTCAGAATTTGTGGCTACCAGAACGTTTGTAATAAAAATGATTAATCGACTTTTTTATTACATCCAATATAAATCGATGTTAAGTCATGTTCAACACCTCACTGTCTTGGTTAACAACTGTAGTAGTATCTATAAATTATAGAATATTGAAAACACTAAAGGGCTGCCAATTAAAAGCTACTGTACTTGCAAAACTTTTATGGCCCAAAATATATAAATTTTTACAATGGGAGAATCCCTTTATTAGTAGATTTAATAGACAGTATTTCTAGAAAGATTTCTTGACCGCAGTTGTACAATTTATTGATCTCCGACCGATCAACCGACATTGCTGAGATACTTTCGCGGCATTTGTTATGAATATTTATAGGTCGCTGACTTAGTTGTTCAGGTGATTGGGCGGCGATTATGCGACTCGAGTGGATATATGCAACACTTGTTCGGTCAATTTGCATTACTCATACGCGACGTAAACCCCCGGGAGGAGTTTGGGGGCAGGCACATTAGAGAACAATTAAATGTACATAGTCGGTCCGGGAGCGAGTCAATTATAATTTTGAGAAAATTTAATTTGCTTTTAATTTTGCTGGCGTGCGGTTAATTGTTTGTTGTTTATTGCTGCCTGCCTCTCAGTTGTTTTTCCCTTCTATAATTTCAAATAAAACGAAAAAACAAACCCATGATGATGAGCTTAAGACCTCTTGGATATTAAAAGCCCATAAATCTTAGCCGCGCGTGGGCGGCCTACTTAAGGCGAGACTAGCGAATTTTGAGACCCTTGGACATGGCCAGATTTCGGCGGTTATCTGACCAAAGAAGTCTCAAGGTGTACTCAGATATCTCTGATAAGGAGAAACCCATCTCTCCTTGATGGTCACATGCCATTCCGGAACGGCTAGTCCATTTGTATGCCCTGCTTACTGCTCATAATCAAATATGGGCAGCACGTAAGGTAGTTGGGGTTATACACTGAACAAATAAATTAATTTCTAGAACATATATTCAAATAATTAGATTCTTAGTAAGATTATAAATATAATTATAATCTTTAATAAATTCAAAAAATTATTTTAAAATTTCAAGTAATTTTAGTTATTTTTTTCTCTGTACAATGTATCTTTGCACATCTTTCAATGCAATTGTAAACAAAAATCAACAAAGATAAGTTAAGCTCAAAAACAATTGCAGTGAATGACAATCGCAGCTCAAATAAAACTGTTAATTGTGCATTCAGTTAATTGTATAAGATCCCGAACCTTACGCAAACCGATCTGGGACCGCCCCCGGCGACACCACCGCCTCCATTTGGCACCACCCGAGTGCAGCGGACTGCATTGAGGCGTGTAAAGTACCGTGAGTACCGTGAGTACACGTGACTCAAAACCCGCCGATCGTGTATCCAAATCCATGATCGGTCTGAATTTATGAATCTACAAGCTTGTCTGAGGTCAGCCTGTGCCGAGGAAGCTGGCTTACAATCCATGTCATGGTTTAAGATCAATGGCAGCCAAAGATCAAGGGTTTTTTTTTCGAGTCGGAAAGAATCCCCCTGGGGAAAAGGCAAAAAAAATTCCCTCCATAATGAGGCAGACATTTAAATTCGTGTCGATATTAAGCTGACTGTGTCTCACGTGACTCGATCCACTTTGATTTGTTCGGACGAGAGAAAAGTGGGAGTGTGAGTTTTTTTTATCACGGCAATAACCGCAGAAATGGCAGCGAAACTGAATTAATTTGGTCACATGACCGAACCAGAAGAAAACAAAATACAGAAACTCAAGCATCTGGGCATTCATATATTTTTGATCACCAGGGAGGAGTACTCACCAGCCGTGATGACATGAAGAAATTCAAGAAGGCAACGACAATATTAAATAACACTATTTACGTACTCTATAGGCAAATATTCAAAAAATTACAGAGAGATAAAAATTGTTTACTAAACTACAAGCTTTTGTTTTTGATTTGATTTGTTTACTTCATCTCAACAAGGAAAAATACTTCGGTACAGAAAAGATAAAACTTGTAAGATAATAAAGTAAATTAAAGAAGAGAATTTATATTTTTCTTGAAAACTAAATTTCGACCACCCCTGGCCGGCGCTTATTTAAATGTAAAGCATATTCCAAATAAACAAAATGGTAATTTGGAATGGCTACTGACCCGGTCGTGTGACTAGTTTGTTGTTTCGTTCCGCCAGAAAAAAAATATATGAAATCATTAGAACACACGGGTCGTAGTCGCCGAGATAATTATCATGTGGGGAGCAGATCCAGATTATGGCCCACTATAATTTCGATAATTGGACAAAAGAGGTGCTAAACCGCTGCCGTGCGGACCAATTAATTTATTGAGCTGTGTGCCGAAATTGCTGTGCTAATGAGTTGTCAATCCAGACCAATTAACAAATCAATTTCGATAAGAGAGAAAAAAATCAAATAAAAGCGGAAACAACAAAAAGGGTCTGACGGCATGTTATCGCCCCACAAAAAACAATAGCTATTTCAATTGCAGTGCTATGGGAATGATAAATAAAAAAAGCAAAAATTAGCCGACAGGCTCCATTAAAAGTGATGGCCCGTAAATAGCTGCAGGGGGGCTGCTGTAAAAAAGCCGTATAAACCCACTGACGGAAGTCGGTTCAATGCACGCCACAAAAAGCCGGGGCAGAGCAGGGCTAACACGGCGTATGCGCAATGCGGCGGCTTCACGTGACTGGCTGCTGGTACGGGAATGCAAATGGCATTCTGTGGGTATTCGATTTCAGGGGCTAGGGCTACTAATGTGCGCTTTTTATGCCACTCGCTGCCATTCAATTCAAATCCAGCAGGTGCCCGATATTTCTGGGATTAGCACTCCCGCCCGCTTTACAATGTTTTTTATTTACCGCCCCAGCGGCGATAATAAACCAGCAAGTGTCACAGAAGAGTTTCTGTTTGGGTTTCGGGCGAGCAAGCAGATAGAGGTTTATCAACGGGACCCACAAATATGCGCCATTGGCCCAGCCCAAATATTGGGTTAATAAGCCTCCCTGAACCATGAACCATCCCGTCTCGTCATTGCTTCAAACCGCATTCCTTACTCATCCCGCTGGTATTTAGCAATTCAAATTTACTGTCCCCAAGGTCTGGAAGTTGATGCTTGATTAATGGACCATGATTTATGTATGAGACAGTTACCTAAGCAGGGTTCTCCCGCTTTGTATAAGTTACGAGGAGCTGGAATTTCTTATCTTATCACAGCTGCACTTGTTTCCGCAGCGATATTTGTCAAATAGGAACGAACGCAGCACGACATCTGTCAAATACTCTGTTTGCCCAGCCAGCTATTGCAGAATGCAAAGTAAGCGACCTTACGATCGCCATTTCACGTTCCTAAACTCAATAGCTGCCATAAATTAGAAACCATAAGTGGCCAAATGACACCTTTATGAGCCACTGAACTCTCCAGACTAGAGTACAATCAGTATTTATTTACTTGTTTCTTTTTTTTTGACAAAGTTTAGCGATCTTTGACTTACAAACTAACAAAGAAAGTGGTTAACCTTCCATGAACGATTGGATTAAGAACCTTACTCTGTAGCTCAGTGTGGAGTACAATGTGGGCCTAAAAGTATGCTACAATGTTGGATCATTCGTTTATTTGAGCAAACGCACGCTGGGCGCACTTCCAATGGGTTTCTAAAGCGAAAAACAAACAAAAACCGGACACAAAACAAGCCGGACTCTTTTCCGTATTTCTTTCATTTGTGACTTCAAGCTATGGACTGGGTACTGTGAGTGGGGTACTGTGAGTGCATGTGAGTAGTGGATAGCCAGACAGCTTAGTCCTCCAGCGTTACATTGCGGAAGAGGTACGACATGGACTCCTTGTTGTGAATGCGCCGAATGGCCTCGGCAATCAGTATGGAGATATCGATCGTCTTGATTTTGTGGCACTGCAGCTTCTGGATCTCGTGTGGAATGGTATTGGTGACAACGATCTTTCAAATAGATTTCAGAAAAGTTTAAAAATTAAAGTGTTTGGAAATTAAAGGTAGCACTCACTTCGTCGATGGGCGACTCATCCAGTAGACGCGGGGCATCCGAGCTGAGCAGACCATGCGTGGCCAGCACGTAGATCTTGCAGGCTCCATTGTCCTTCAACATTTCGGCGGCAGCCACAAACGCCTGGACGTCGTCAATAAGATCGTCCTTTTAAGATAATTATACATCAGTTAGGACATTCAAAATATATTTTAAAACTCTCCAATACTCACCACCATGATGGCAATACGCCCGTTGACATCTCCCACAATTGTCAGCGGCGGCTTGACCTTCACGGGGTGCTCCGGCACTCCCACGGAGACGGAAGTGGTGCGCGTCCGGTTGCTGCTGGATGGGGCGTGTTGTGGAGTAGAGTTTCTAGTGGTTAGTGTGCGTCAGTTTCACGCGGTTCAAGTGTGTCGAGTGGTGCAATGTGGTGCATTGAGTGTTGTTGGTTTTGTCGAGGTTGTTCATTGGATCGAGATCGAAACCAAAAAAGAAAAGAATCATGTGGGGTGTGGGTGGTTGTTGGGTGGGTGGAGTGGAGTGAGTGGTATTTTGGGGTGGTGGATTTCGGTGGGGAAAAAGTACAAATGGCAATTGATTAAAATCATAATTAAACTGAAATGAAACAATAGGTAAAATACGAACCTAGGCGTCGCTGGTAAGCACATTTCAACTGAATTTCCTAATAAATTGCTATACGCACTGCATAACACAAATAAAGATCAATTTCGATTTTCGTTTTCTATAACTTTTTCAATTTGGACAAAGACTCTGGTCGGACATTGGAGTGTCGAGCTTTTTGTGACCCGATTAGAGCATAAATTAAGCAAAACAATCAAGGACTTTGATACTCAAATAAAGCCAAATAGGGTCTAGCCAATATAATTAAGAATTCATACAAAAAAGTGCCTGTCTTGGCTGTGAAGTACAAACAAAAGCCAGTAACACAAACTTATAAAGGGCGTTGCAGCTCAGATGGGATGAAAAATGTTGAAACTTTCCAAAATGTTTGAAAAAGGATTCAAATGATTAATGTCAAAAATGCAAGTGCTACTTCTTTAACAAAAGTGGTTTAAAATTAACAAAAGGTGGTGCATGGTGTAAATTATAGGGTTAATGTGCAACCAGCTTCAGTCATAAGATAAAGCTTGGCGATCATGAAAACTAACCAAGAAAAGCTAACAGCAACTTAAAAGGACATGACTAACAAATCAAACAAAATCCCCACTAAAGGACTTCAACTTCAACTGGATCAGCGAGGCCTGCTCTTTGAATTGGGGAACTGCAACTCACCTGGTCGGTGGAGGAGAATAGCGACCATCTACCTCATCGCTTTCAGCCTCCTTTTGTTCCCCATGAATCACCGCCAAGCCCAGACGCAGTCGCTCCGCGTACGAGTTGGCCTTCTTAGCCACGCCCGGATTGCGGGCCACAATCACCGAATTACGATAGTCGGGAATCTAGTGGAAGTGTTCAAATTAAATATATGATTAACGATATATATGCTGAAGCACTCACGCTCTCCTGAATATATTGGAGCAAAAAGGGCGACGCCCTTAGGTTGTCCACGGGTATGTCGAAGAAACCCTGGATCTCCTTCTGGTGCAGATCCATTGTGATGATGTGGGTCAGGCCCGAGGTGCACATCATTTTGGCCAGCAGCTTGGAGACGATGCAGCCGCGCTTGCGCATCTTGCATTGCTTCGAGTATGGCAAGTATGGGATCACACCCACAATGGACCGAGCAGACGAAGTTTTGCAGGCGTAGGCCATGATGAGCAGCTCCATGATGTTGTTGTTGGCATCCCTAGGGTCAGTAAGAGTTGACATTAATAGCCATTAGCACCGGCAACTTGTTTCAACTCACTTGGTTCCTGTTTGGATGATGTAGATGTCCTTGCCTCTAACAGAATCGCTGATTTCCACAATGGTCTCCCGGTTGGACTTGTGGAAAACGGAGCACCCTCCATTCTTCAGGCCCATGCGTTCGGCCACCATGTTGGCCAAGTCCGGATGCGAGTTTCCATTGATGATGACAATGTCCGAGGTGGAGGTGTTGTCCATGTCGCTCCTGCAACGCTTCGGTGGGCGTACGCTGCCTAATCTGCAAAGGATCACTCTGATTATCACAACCGCTTCCACTTCAAGATCATCGTTTAAAAACAAACACAACAAAAACTGTAACACGGCCAGAAATTAGAACATAATACCTCCTTTTGGACATAATGTCCTGGGAACTGGGTTAAGGGTTAAGCTGTTGGGGTGTTGCTGGGTTCATTCACTTGCGACATAACCGTTAAAGTAACACACACGCAGTCGTTAGGGCTCCCACCAGTCGTTACCATATACGAGCTTATCGATTAGCCCCAGTGAACCAAATAGCCCCCGGTGAACGCAATTAGTCCTTTGGCCTTTCTCGTCTCGGTTGCCCAGTTGTGGAAACTGCGGGCCAACTGCGCTGCGAAATACAAACCACAGGCGAACCCTCCAGCCGGAAGCTACTCCGAGTTATCGACCAAACAAAAGGCGACACACGTGAGTGGCGTGGCAACGTCAAAGTGCCAACATGCGAATGAAGGCTTCTGGGATTCCGAAGCAGTCTCTTGGTGCGGAGGAAGCGGCAAGGAGCGACCGGGAGCTGCCCAGGATTAGCAGCCATCAGATAGAGATCTCCGGCCTCTCACCTCAGGCCTTGCACGCGACTTCTCCACTCGAGAAAAGTGAAAGCCCCAAGAAATTCCATCACAGTGCCGGCCCAAGCTAATTGAATTTCTATTTTCGATCCTGGCCCAGGGGACGAGGGCTAGCAGCTTCAAAGTAAAGAAAAAGTTGATGGGTTGAGGAACTCGGCACGTCAGCGGCGAAATGGGCGACTCAGGTAAGTGAAATGGCCATAAATATGGGCCATCAGCGGAGCAGGACATAAGCGTTTTTAAATACGCTAGAAATATAAATATTTCTTGGATAATACAAGTAATAGGACATATTTTTTCAGAATTTAGAATCAAAAATGCATAAAAGGGTCTTAAGTTTAGAGCTTATGGTATTTATCCCCTTCCAAAACCATAAGACCCCTAAAAAGAGTATCTATGAAGCTATTTCAAGAGCTTTGAAGCCTCGAGACATTCACCTCCGGTTTCCAACTTCTTCAACTTAGACTTGCATTGTGGGCCAACGCAACCGCGAGGCGACTATTCAATTTTAGACATTTGACGGCTCAGACCTGCCACTGGCAGCGACTGCAATGGAAACTTGCGGCACGCATATGTGTGGCGCAGAGTGGCAGGAGCAGCTAGGGGGATCTGGGTTTAAAGATAGCAGAGCTGGGCGGGATTAGGAGGAGGCGCCTAACCTCAGGCCAAGAAAGTTATGACAGCTCAGGCGGAGGGCCAGAACCAGGTCGGATTAGGGCCAGCACTTGAACGGGCCAAGACTGGCGGCATTAGAAGAAACTAGAATTTCGCCAGAGAAAGACGCACCAACGGACAGACTTCAACATGCTGGGAATAGCTTGCGATCCTCTCCAGCATACGAGCATGTATGAGCGCGGCTCAGACGGTATTGAAAAGGGGACTAGTCTTCCTAGAATGAGATTTGAACTAAGTGCTCAGATTACAATTGGCAAGGTCAAGAACTCACTTGATAATCAGCTTTTACTTTCGATTCTTATCAAAAAAACCTTGAAGTACTCGTATTTGGACAGAAACTACAGGTTGTACATATAATACTTTAATCTCTTTACAGACAGCGAGGACAGTGATGGCGAGGGAGGCCTGGGAAATGTTTCCCGCGTGATAATCCGGCCTCCGGGCCAAAGTGGCAAGGCCAAGCGAGGCCACCTGTGCTTCGACGCCGCCTTCGAAACGGGCAACCTGGGCAAGGCCGAGTTGGTGGGCGAGTTCGAATACGACCTCTTCCTCCGGCCGGACACCTGCAATCCCCGCTTCCGGTTCTGGTTCAACTTCACGGTGGACAATGTGAAGCAGGACCAGCGGGTGCTCTTCAACATAGTCAACATCAGCAAGAGCAGGAACCTCTTCGCCTCGGGCCTGACGCCGCTGGTGAAAAGCTCCAGCCGGCCCAAGTGGCAGCGACTGCCGAAGCGGCAGGTGTTTTTCTATCGGTCCGCCATGCACCAAGGACACTACGTCCTGAGTTTCGCCTTCATTTTCGACAAGGAGGAGGATGTCTATCAGTTCTGCCTGGCCTGGCCCTATAGCTACTCCCGCTTGCAGTCCTATTTGAACGTGATCGATGCCAGGCAGGGATCAGACAAGCGATTCACCCGATGCGTCCTCGTCAAGTCCTTGGTATGTCCTATTCTATCCTTATTTTTCCAATAAAATAATGTTTCATGTTCCTTAGCAAAATCGCAATGTGGACTTACTGACCATCGACCATGTCACCCAGAAGCAACGCTCTACCAATCGCTTGGATCGCAGCTTTATCCGCGTGATTGTCATCCTGTGCCGGAGCCACTCCAGTGAAGCCCCCGCCTCTCATGTGTGCCAGGGCCTCATTGAGTTCCTGGTGGGCAACCACCCCATAGCTGCTGTTCTGAGAGACAACTTTGTCTTCAAAATAGTGCCCATGGTCAACCCGGACGGGGTGTTCCTGGGCAACAACCGCTGCAACCTGATGGGCCAGGATATGAACCGAAACTGGCACATCGGGTCGGAGTTCACGCAGCCGGAGTTGCATGCAGTGAAGGGCATGCTACGCGAGCTGGACAACTCAGATGTGAGTGACCTTTTCTTCCGATACTGTCTTCTTATAATCCTCCCTTGTTCATAGACCTATCAGATAGACTTTGTGATTGATTTGCATGCCAATAGTAGCATGCACGGCTGCTTCATTTACGGCAACACCTACGAGGATGTTTACAGGTACGAACGGCACCTCGTTTTTCCGCGTCTGTTCGCCAGCAATGCTCCGGATTATGTGGCGGACCACACCATGTTCAACGCGGATGAGCGGAAGGCTGGGAGTGCCAGGAGGTTCAGCTGCGAGAGACTCAGTGACACGGTGAACGCCTACACCCTGGAGGTGTCCATGGCGGGCCACTACCTCAAGGACGGCAAGACCGTCTCCCTTTACAACGAGGATGGATGTGAGTATCTTTGGAGGAAAAACTTTAGGCCATATCTTAATCTTTTTCCTTTGCAGACTACCGGGTTGGCAGGAACCTGGCCAGGACCCTGCTGCAGTACTACCGCTTTATCAACATCCTGCCCATGCCCATTGTCACCGAAGTACGGGGCAAGAGGCGGGGTCGCAACCGCCACGCCCACCACTCGCGATCCCGCTCGAAGACCCGCTACGAGGTGAAGCCACGCCCCAAGACGCCCCGTTGCCACGCCCCCATCGCCTACACAAATCTGAGCATATGCTATGACTCCGGCGGAGGCGGGGGATCCTCGGACGAGGGCGGGTTTTCGCCCGTGCGACCTATTGCCCCGGGAAGTAGCTGCTTCAGTGGCTGTCGGAACTATAGGAGGGCAGCGACGGCCAGCTCCTTTCTAACTCCTGGACACGATCAGTATTCCCCCTTCTCCCTGGGGGCTATCAAGGCGGGAAGCGACCAGGGAGGCGGGGTGGGCGGTGCGAGGGGCAAGAAGTCGGCCACGGTAACTATTGAACTGCCCACGCCTGTGAACGTTCCGCCCAAGCCCTACCTTTCCATCATCGATCTGAACCAGCTGACCCGAGGAAGCCTTAAATTAAAATCGAACAGCTTTGACGCCGACAGGAGGTAGGACCAGGAAGGACATCTCCACCCCCTTGCCCTTGAGTGATGCTTTAACCTTTCTAGATATAATCGAACCTTTTCTACGCTTGTCGCTTGTTTTTCCAACACATTAGCTATTACAATAAATTAATGAGTCTTATGACTTCTATGGTTTGCGCCCAACGAGTGTGACCTTCCGAAAGCTCAGAACATTGTGGGGCAACAAGTACGCCGCCTGAGAGCCACCTCTTGAGTGACTTGCGGTGCCTTATCTACGGCCATTGTTTATTGTTGTTTCTTGCTCTTATTTTGGCCCGCTGCCAGATGCGTTCAATTGGCGACCGTTGACATGTGAGCTCTTCATATCACCGTCTCGTAGGATGAACGGGCTTATTTACAGTTAGCAGACACCCACATCAAACACTGCAACAACAACAACGAAAAAACAAAGAACCGCAATGGGAGTGTCGCATTCCACTCAAGTTCCACTCGCAACACACGTGAGTGAGAGCAGAGGTGTTGGTCTATCACTCGGCCGTAATTAGATGGATTTGCTGGCACTTTTATCTTATCGGCCACGATATTACGACCATATAGTTGCAGCAAGCCCATCAGCTGTACTAATAAATATGTACCTGAGGCGATTTGCCACTCACACACACGCGACGGGCCGTGGAAATGGGGAAAACACGCGCGAAAACTGTTGATAACGGCGGGGAACTGACAGGCGAGTGGGCCAAAGCGCGCTTCTTAACTGATTAACGCTTTCAATTAACACGAAATCAATAAAGTGGCCGTTTGCCCGTTTTTTTGATAAATAAAAGCGAATGGCTGGAGGCAAAATGGAGCGCAAAAGAGCGAAATGAAATTAAAAAGCGAGGGCAGGCGGGGTTGCCAGATCGATGCAGTGAAAAAGCAACAGCTGTTTGGGGGTTTTGAGGAGAAAACTTTAAACAGCTTTTAAAGTGGTTTAACAGGAGGAAAATGGGTTAATAGAATACAGAAATGAAACAGATTAATTAGAATTCTATGAACATTTATTGGATTCAACACTAAGTAATTAAAACGCATTCCCACACACAAAATCTGCTTGTGAGCAGCTTTACTTTGGTATTGGTGAGAGTCAGCCGCGCAGTGCACAAGAAAGTGGAGAGCAAAACAAAGAGCGAGATGAAGTAACAAATGAGAACAATAACAAATACAACAAAAACACCAAAATGGGGCTAAAAATAAATGCAAACAGAATTTCCAGCCAACGGGGGGTTGGGGCTCGTGGGGGCCATCTACGTTAGCACGCAATATCTCGCAAATTGGTTAGAAAAACAAAATCAAAAGGAATAGGTGTTGGTAACTTGTAATTCAGTTTAATCTTCCAACCTGTTCAGAATCTTCGCGGGCACTGGAAAAATAAACATGGAAAACATATGACAACTGATTAAACACAAAGCAATTGGGGAAAAAGGGGGGAAAATAGAAAATAATTATTGAAAAAAGGAGGACAACACACACACGCACACTAATTAAATTAAACACAGAAATAACGAGAAAAAAGCCGTAACAGCTGCTTTTTTTACTTGTTCCGCTGCAGCAGCATGTTGTAGTTTCTTTGTAGATTTCACTGAAGTTATAATCCTTTCAGAAGTGCAATTTAAGATTTTCAATTGGTATCCTTTTTCTCAAGTGCCGGCAGAACGAGGGGAGAACGGGGTAGAGAGAGACAGAGATAGGCACACACACACACTCAGCTACCAACTAGGATTAATTGCTAATTACTCTTCTTAACACGACTCTGCGACTTTCTATCAAGAAATCTTCCCGAAATCTGCGACCCGAATATAAATATATTTCTTTCTATTTTGTCTAGGGTTGTCGGTGGTATAAACATATCGATATTCCTTGTCAAAATGTTGTATGTATATAGTGTTGTGAATTTTACCTCATGGTCGAAAATAAATATAAATTATTAGTATTGTTAATATTAATTTATTTTTCTATAATAAAGTAGACAAATATTGTATTTTGACTTTTACTCTTCCCCCGTGAGCAACATTTCTTTACAATCTAAGTCTAAAATAGGAGTAAGATTTTACATTTCACCAATACATTTTACAGGGGTAACATTTTACATTTTACCGGCACCACAAGGAAAAGACCAATTTCCAATGATCTGGCAGCGTTGTCAATGTTATTTGAGCTTTGTTTGAATGATTTATTTTTTAACCCACTTAAATAGTTACTTAATGAATTTTAATTTTAATTAGTTAATTTTAATGGATTATTATTTTCAAGTTTTATAAGTTTTATTCGTGTTTTTATTTTTAGTTTTTTCCCAAGTATCTTGTGCATTTCTTCCGCTACGTTGAAAAAAATTAAAACTCGATCTTTTTCTGTTTACATCATATGAGTCACTCTTGAGCAAAATGTTTTGTGTAATTCGATTTGTTATAGATGTTAAACCAAGATCATTTTAAATTTTGTTCTTACAGGTATTTTCTTTTCAAAAATTCAGTTAGAATCGGGACTCTTCCAAGTTATGGCAAAGCCACTGCATCTTCTGAGTTTCATATTCATCCTTGGATGTTCTTGTGCTCTGTCCAATCAGGATAAAAGTCAAGAAACCTGGATAAACGTGGAACGCTATCTGTTGCGGAATCTAAAGGAATATGCGGAAAAATTGAGGGAAAAAATAAGCGTTATAAATAGGTACGATTTTTTTCGGTTTCTTGAAAATGTTTCAAGTGTATATATCCACTCTATAGCTCCGTAAACGAATACCTAGAAGAGATCGAAGAGGCCAAAGAAGATCCCGAGTTGTACCTTGCCAATCCCCTAAACTCCTTTCGTTTAATCCGCCACATGCACCAGGACTGGGTCTCTTGGCAGATATATATGGAGAAGACAGTGGGCGAAGAGGAGGCGGCCAATATAGAGCGGGTCCTCGATAAACTTCCCCATGAGTGGGACCTTCAAAGAGCGGCAGAGGATGTCAGGATTGTGACCAAGTTCTATAACTATGAGCCTGCTGAATTGGTAGCTCAGGACGAAAGGAATAGGTGACATTGGTCATTCTTACTCCTAAAATTAATATTTGTTGAATATTTTTCTTCCAGTCCCATTCATCTATCGCCCTTGGATTGTTACCATTTGGGATTAGAGCGGTACAAAGAGCAGGATTATAAGGTGGCAGCCAAGTGGATAGGAGCGGCTGCCAAGAACTTTTCACAGTCGGAATACAGTGACCTTTACGCCCAAATAGGAGCACCACGTTGGAAAATGTATCGCGATTATGCCAGGGCCCTGGACAAACTCAGTAGGTCCCAAAAATATTAAAGCAAAAAGTACTGTTTTATCAATCTCCACCAGATCGCAGGGAAAAGTATCAAGCCTACGAGGTAGCTACGAAATTGAGTCCTCATAACGTTCACCTCATGCAGGAAATAGGTGAAATGGAGCTGCTTACTTTAAGGGATCCCTTAGACCCCATTTCCGATGATGTAGATCGTCCAACCGACGTGCAGGAAATGTGCCGTGGCAAAAAAACTTCCAACGAGAATAGGTTGGTTTGTGAATACAACAACTTTGTTACCCCTTTCCTGCAACTTGCTAGGATGCGCTTAGAGGAGGTTATCAGTGACCCTTACACCATAATGTACCCGCACAGTGTCTACGAATCGGAGATCGAACATATGGTAAATGTATATTCGAAGTGTCCACCCAATGCTTTATTTCAGCTGGAAGAAGGGGTTGCGGTTTGCTCGGTTTCGAATGGTTATAGTTCGGTGACAAAAGGTCTCAGAGAGAGGGTGCTGGACATGACAGGATATAACAGGGACTCTGACAACTTTTACATAGTAGCCTACGACACACTGCAACCCATGGAAATATTTAAAAAATTCCGCGCCTATTCTCAGGTAATGAATCTGGATAAATGTTAGAATATTAAGTACGTAATGTTTCCACCCAGTTTTCCGACGTGAGATTCACAAAGATCGAAGCCACGGCCATAATATTTGTGAGTTGCATCATCTACATAGTAAAGTTATCATCAAAGATTTTTTTAATAGCTTAATGATATTCCTTTGGGTGGAGCTCTTATCTTTCCTGACTACAAGCTTGATGTGTTTGTACAACCCAAGAAAGGAAATGTTTTGGCCTTTGATGAAAAAAAACTTAGGACCACAATTTGTCCTAATATTGCTGGCCATGGTCTTGGTAATATAGATAGAATATAATTTAAAAATTACATAAAGATAAAATCGGTAATATATCTTTTTTCCAGTAATGGTCAAGTTCCTGTACCAGGAAGAGTAAACATTTTTGAAACTTTATGGATTCACAAAAAGGTGTGTGTTTTTTTAAGGGAGCATTGTATCACACTTTATTAAATAAAAAATATAATAATAATATATAATATTAGTTTAAATTAAATTATAAATTCAGTGTCGTAAACCTATATCCCAAAAGTCCAGAAAATAAAACATATTTTAAGCAGAGAAATTATATTTCAATTGATTCTCCTTAATTTTTCAGAACGGCTGCATAGAAAATCAATTTAGTTGTCACGCTTTTATTAATTAAAAATCAAATGCCAGGAAAATTTTCCAAATCAGTCTTAAAATGATTTGGCCTCAGAGTGTTCTATTGGTACTACTTGTAAGTGCAAAAAATGCAAGAAGCACTTCCTTTCATTTATCAGATGCTGACAAGGATTATCTAATGGAATTAGATGAGCAACTTAGTTACAATTTATTTGAATATGCAGATAAACTGGAGGAAAAGGCACAGCATGTACAAAGGTACTTCCTTTATACTATATAGACAATATTTGAAAATTATCCTTTAAACAGAATAGTTAAAGAAATTCGACAGCCCTTGAAGGCAGCAAAGGGTATTGAAGAGGAATATCTATCGAATCCCTTGCACAGTTTTCCACTCATTCGGCATTTGTATGAGGACTGGGGCTATTTAGAGGAGTTCATGAAAAGGCCAGTAGGTCAAGGTTTGTGGAAAACAAAGAATGAGAATCAAATGATATTAAAAGAAACACTTCCCAGATCAAAAAAATTTTCTCAAGGAAAAACTTCAAGAATTACCCATATACTCGGAGGTAGTGGAAGCCACAGAGGCCATTGCTCGCATTCAACATACCTATGGTCTCACGGCATTTGAAATGATTAATGGCCACATAGAAGGAATACAGTTAAAGTAGGTTATCTAGAGGATATAAGCAAAGATAAACATTAATATTTCCCTTTAAGTTCTACTCTCACAGCGCTGGATTGCTTTGCTATTGCGAAATATTATTTAAAGTCTGGTAAAATCGATGCGGCTGCTGATTGGCTAAAGAACACCAAACACTTGATGAGTGAGGATAATGAAGAGGTTCACGAGGTCCTTGGTCTTTCCGTTCGTGAGGTGGTGATGCTGCTGGCTCGATGTCTGACCCAATTGGGTCAAACTGATGAAGCCTTCAATCTATTAAAGTCCCAGCCTGATCTCGCAGAGAAGACACCTGATCTGATGGATCTATACATGGCACAACCGAAAGGGTCTAAAAATTTGTTTCCCACTTGGTCGAAAGCGTATAGTGCTTGCTGTCGTTCCTCTCATACCCCAAATCCCACCAGACTTCTCTGCCGATACAACTCCACCTCTACACCATTTCTGAAAATAGCACCTTTGAAAATGGAGGAGATTTCTCTGGACCCGTATGTCGTTGTCTACCACGATGTCCTGGCCGAACGGGCTATCGCAGAAGTTCTACGTTTGAGCGAGACTAAAGTGGAAGCTGTGAAAGTTGTTCAGTCCCCAGGAACCATAAGAAGGGAAAATGTTCGATCCGCCTTGGGATTTTGGTTGCCAGAACTTGGTGAAGACATCAACGGACCCAATGGACCACTGTACAAACACATTCAAAATATAGTGAGGGATATTACCGGATTCGTTATTGGGAATGAGCAATACTATCAGGTTCTAAAATATGAATTCGGGGGCCATTATTCCCCGCATTGCGACTTTTTTAACATGTCGCTACAAATAACGCGAGAGGAAGGAGATCGCATCGCCACCGTTTTGTTTTATGTGAGTTTTTGGATATATTATATATAAATTGATGTTTTGTTAGAAAATTTGTTATAGCTTAATGATGCACCACATGGCGGTGCTACGGTATTCCCAGATTTAATGGTTAAGGTCCCGGCCCAAAAAGGAAAGGTATTGTTTTGGCATAATCTTAGGGGAGAGACCCACGACTTTGATGTCAAAACACTTCATGGGGCCTGCCCTGTTTTCCATGGCACCAAACTGGGTGAGTTTCTATAATCTTGTTGTAATATAAAGTTTATTCTACTCTCAATATCAATGCAGCCATGGCAGGATGGATTTATGAATATAATCAAATGTTTCTTAAACCTACACTTCGCCAAGGAGATCGACCAAATGCATATACATAACAATAAATAATAATACTTCAAGTTTAGCTTTCGTATTACGCGATTTTTTTCTTAGTCTCAAGCCCTAAAACCTTTCTAATTTAGATAATTTTTAATTTGATATAATTTTTCTCCCATATTTAAAATAAATAAAATGTAAAATATAAAGTTTTAAAAACAAAGTTTCAACGACCCAAAAGCCAATCTTAAATTAGTATCTCTATAATTAACCATTCGTCAAGTCGAATGAGGCGCGTTAAAATATTTTCAACTGTGATTTAAGCCAGAAAAGAAACTATCTTCTTTACAGTCATGTCGAATTCAACTTACCTTTGTTTTTGGTTCATTATCGGGTGGCTGCCGAAAACTTTTCACAGTCGCAATATAGTGACCTTTACGACCAAATAGGAACACCAAGTTGGAATATGTATCGCAATTTCCATATGCCAGGGCGCTGGACAAACTCAGTAGGCCCAAAAAAAAAAAATAATAAATAAAAAAAATATTTTTTTAGCAAAAATATTTGCATGTCCACCCAATGCTGTATTTTAGCTGAAGGACGGGTGGAGCTATTATCTTTCCTATTACTATTGAGCTATTACTATTAAGTTTGATATGTTTGTACAACCCAAGAAGAGAAATATTTTGGTGGCCTTTGATGAAAAAGAACTTAGGACAACAATTTTTCCTAATATAGATGGCCATGGTCTTGGTAATATAGATACAATATCATTTAAAATTTATGTAAAGATAAAATCAGTAAAATATCTTTCTTCTAGTAATGATCTAGTTCGGGTACCAGATTAGTAAAAATTTTTGATGGATTAATGAAAAAGGATTTTTTTTAAAGGAAGCAATGTGTCACACTTGATTAAATAAAAAATGTAATAATAATATATTAAATTAGGTAAAATTAAATTATAAATTCAGTGTCTTAAACCTATGGACCTATGGGAGATGTCCAAGAAAATAAAACATATTTAAAGCAGAGAATTTATATTTCAATTTTTCAGAACGGCTGCATGAAAAATCAATTTAGTTATCACGCTTTTATTAATTTAAAATCATATGCCTGGAAAAGTTTCCAAATCAGTCTTAAAATGATTTGGCCTCAGAGTGTTTTATTGGTACTACTTGTAAGTGCAAAAAATGCAAGAAGCACTTCCTTTCATTTATCAGATGCTGACAAGGATTATCTAATGGAATTAGATGAGCAACTTAGTTACAATTTATTCGAATATGCAGATAAACTGGAGGAAAAGGCAGAGCATGTACAAAGGTACTTCCTTTATACTTTATAGACAATATTTTAAAATTATCCTTTAAACAGAATAGTTAAAGAAATTCGACAGCCCTTGAAGTCAGCAAAGGGCATTGAAGAGGAATATCTATCGAATCCCTTGCACAGTTTTCCACTCATTCGGCATTTGTACGAAGACTGGGGCTATTTAGAGGAGTTCATGAAAAGGCCAGTAGGTCAAGGTTTGTGGAAAACAAAGAATTAGAATCAAATGATCTTGAAAGAAACATTTCCAGATCAAATAAATTTTCTCAAGGAAAAACTTCAAGAATTACCCAATCACTCAAATTTAGTGCCAGCTACAGAGTCCATTACTCGAATTCAACATACCTATGGTCTCACGGCACTGGAAATGATAAATGGCCACATAGAAGGAATACAGTTAAAGTAGGTTATCTAGAGGATATTAGCTAGGATAGAAATTAATATTTCCCTCTAAGTTCCACTCTCACAGCGCTGGATTGCTTTGCCATTGCAAAATATTATTTAAAGTCTGGTAAAATAGATGCGGCTGCTGATTGGCTAAAGAACACCAAACACTTGATGAGTGAGGATAATGAAGAGGTTCACGAGGTCCTTGGTCTTTCCGTTCGTGAGGTGGTGTTGCTGCTGGCTCGATGTCTGACCCAATTGGGTCAAACTGATGAAGCTTTCAATCTATTAAAGTCCCAGCCTGATCTCGCAGAGAAGACACCTGATCTGATGGATCTATACATGGCACAACCGAAAGGGTCTAAAAATTTGTTTCCCACTTTGTCAAAAGCGTATAGTGCTTGCTGCCGTAACTCTCATACCCCAATTCCCACCAGACTTCTTTGCCGATACAACTCCACCTCTACACCATTTTTGAAAATAGCACCTTTAAAAATGGAGGAGATTTCTCTGGACCCGTATGTCGTTGTCTACCACGATGTCCTGGCCGAACGGGCTATCGCAGAAGTTCTACGTTTGAGCGAGACTAAAGTGGAACCTGTAAGGGTTGTTCAGCCCATAGGAACCATAAGATGGGAAAATGTTCGATCCGCCTTGGGATTTTGGTTGCCAGAACTTGGTGAAGACATCAACGGACCCAATGGACCACTGTACAAACACATTCTAAATATAGTGAGGGATATTACCGGATTCGTTATTGGGAATGAGCAACACTATCAGGTTCTAAAATATGAATTCGGGGGCCATTATTCCCCGCATTGCGACTTTTTTAACATGTCGATACGATTAACGCGACAGAAAGGAGATCGCATCGCCACCGTTTTGTTTTATGTGAGTTTTTGGATATATATAAATTGATGTTTTGTTAGAAAATTTTGTATAGCTTAATGATGCACCACATGGCGGTGCTACGGTATTCCCCGATTTGATGGTTAAAGTCCCGGCCCAGAAAGGAAAGGTATTGTTTTGGCATAATCTTAGGGGAGAGACCCACGACTTTGATGTCAACACACTTCATGGGGCCTGTCCTGTTTTCCATGGCACCAAACTGGGTGAGTTTCTATAATCTTGTTGCAATATAAAGTTTATTCTACTCTCAATTTCAATGCAGCTATGGCAGGTTGGATTTATGAATATAATCAAATGTTTCTTAAACCTACACTTCGCCAAGGAGATCGACCAAATGCATATACATAACAATAAATAATAATACTTCAAGTTTAGCTTTCGTATTACGCGATTTTTTTCTTAGTCTCAAGCCCTAAAACCTTATTAATTTAGATAATTTTTAATTTGGTATAATTTTTCTCCCACGTTTAAAATAAATAAAAAGTAAAATATAAAGTTTTAAAAATAAAGTTTCAACGACCCAAAAGCCAATCTTAAGGGGAGGTTCTTTTGGATTTTTTCGAAAATAAAGCAAACTTTGAGAATGGATTGCCGGAAAATGAAAAGACATACGAACTTATGCTTTTGAACTTTTGATTCGTTGTTTATTAACGATTAGGAAATATTCGAATATTCAGGAAATTCAAAATGGCGGATCTCGTCGACCTCTATATTTCTGCTTTGTCGAATGTCGGGCCGCTGGTAGTAAACTTAAATTAGAAATGTATATACTTTATTAAAATTGATGGAATTTCCTATGCCTTATACCTAACGACAATTAATTTTGGTAAAAATAAACCAATTTCATGGACGTTTAAAAAAAAAGTGACATTTTTTCTCTTTTTTTTACTTTGATCTCATTTAAAAATTAAAAATAAACAATTTTTTATGTCAATTTTAGGTATAAGGCATACAAAAAAGTATGTACTTTTAAACATTTTTTGAATGAAAGAAATCGGATCAATAGAACGAGCCCAGTGCGCGACAAGAAGTTTGAAAACATGGTTCCGAGAAAAATGCGTTTAAAGTTTTTAGAAGCTTTGCCTTTAGATAGCTTTCTTGTTATCATGGGTATGTTCGAAACGCTCTAGCTCAAGAAATACACGTCGTATCGAAATATCTCTTGGCACGTATATTTTACACATATGTAACTTTCATTTTATTAAAAAAAAAAAAATCGATTTTTTCAAAAAATCCAAAAGAACCTCCCCTTAAATTAGTATCTCTATAATTCACCATTCGTCAAGTCGAATGAGGCGTGTTAAAATATTTTCAACTGTGATTTAAGCCAGAAAAGAAACTATCTTCTTTACAGTCATGTCGAATTCAACTTACTTTTGTTTTTGGTTTATTATCGAGTGGCTGCCGAAAACTTTTCACAGTCGCAATATAGTGACCTTTACAACCAAATAGGAGCACCAAGTTGGAAAATGTATTGCAATTACCATATGCCATATGCGCTGGACAAACTCAGTAGGTCCCAAAAATATTTTAGCAAAAATATTCGCATGTCCACCCAATGCTGTATTTTAGCTGAAGGACGGGTGGAGCTATTATCTTTCCTGACTGCAAGTTTGATATGTTTGTACAACCCAAGAAGAGAAATTTTTTGGTGGCCTTTGATGAAAAAGAACTTAGGACCACAATTTGTAATATAGATGGCCATGGTCTTGGTAATATAGATACAATATCATTTAAAATTTATGTAAAGATAAAATGAGTAAAATATCTTTCTTCTAGTAATAATCAAGTTCATGTACCAGGATTAGTAAAAATTTTTGATGGATTAATGAAAATGGATTTTTTTTTTAAAGGAAGCAATTTGTCACACTTGATTAAATAAAAAATATAACAATAATATATTAAATTAGGTAAAATAAAATTATAAATTCAGTGTCATAAACCTATGGACTTGGGGGATGTCCAAGAAAATAAAACATATTTAAAGCAGAGAATTTATATTTCAATTGCTTCTCCTTAATTTTTCAGAACGGCTGCATAGAAAATCAATTTAGTTTTCACGCTTTAATTAACTTAAAATCAAATGCCAGGAAAATTTTCCAAATCAGTCTCAAAATGATTTGGCCTCAGAGTGTTCTATTGGTACTACTTGTAAGTGCAAAAAATGCAAGAAGCACTTCCTTTCATTTATCTGATGCTGACAAGGATTATCTAATGGAATTAGATGAGCAACTTAGTTACAATTTATTCAAATATGCAGATAAACTGGAGGAAAAGGCACAGCATGTACAAAGGTACTTCCTTTATACTACATAGACAATGTTTAAAAATTATCCAAATTTTGTTAAACAGAATAGTTAAAGAAATTCGACAGCCCTTGAAGGCAGCAAAGGGCATTGAAGAGGAATATCTATCGAATCCCTTGCACAGTTTTCCACTCATTCGGCATTTGTACGAAGACTGGGGCTATTTAGAGAAGTTCATGAAAAGGCCAGTAGGTCAAGGTTTGTGGAAAACAAAGAATTAGAATCAAATGATCTTGAAAGAAATATTTTCCAGATCAAATAAATTTTCTCAAGGAAAAACTTCAAGAATTACCCAATCACTCAAATTTAGTGGCAGCTACAGAGTCCATTACTCGAATTCAACATACCTATGGTCTCACGGCACTGGAAATGATAAATGGCCACATAGAAGGAATACAGTTAAAGTAGGTTATCTAGAGGATATTAGCTAGGATAGAAATTAATATTTCCCTCTAAGTTCCACTCTCACAGCGCTGGATTGCTTTGCCATTGCAAAATATTATTTAAAGTCTGGTAAAATAGATGCGGCTGCTGATTGGCTAAAGAACACCAAACACTTGATGAGTGAGGATAATGAAGAGGTTCACGAGGTCCTTGGTCTTTCCGTTCGTGAGGTGGTGTTGCTGCTGGCTCGATGTCTGACCCAATTGGGTCAAACTGATGAAGCTTTCAATCTATTAAAGTCCCAGCCTGATCTCGCAGAGAAGACACCTGATCTGATGGATCTATACATGGCACAACCGAAAGGGTCTAAAAATTTGTTTCCCACTTTGTCAAAAGCGTATAGTGCTTGCTGCCGTAACTCTCATACCCCAATTCCCACCAGACTTCTTTGCCGATACAACTCCACCTCTACACCATTTTTGAAAATAGCACCTTTAAAAATGGAGGAGATTTCTCTGGACCCGTATGTCGTTGTCTACCACGATGTCCTGGCCGAACGGGCTATCGCAGAAGTTCTACGTTTGAGCGAGACTAAAGTGGAAGCTGCGAATGTTGTTCAGCCCCCAGGAACCATAAGAAGGGAAAATGTTCGATCCGCCTTGGGATTTTGGATGCCAGAACTTGGTGAAGACATCAACGGACCCAATGGACCACTGTACAAACACATTCAAAATATAGTGAGGGATATTACCGGACTAATTATCTGGAATGGGCAACGTTTTCAGGTACTAAAATATGAATTCGGGGGCCATCACTCCCCGCATTGCGACTATTTTAACATGTCGCTAGGAATGATGCCACCGGAAGGGGATCGCATCGCCACCGTTTTGTTTTATGTGAGTTTTTGGATAAACTTAAATTTATGTTTTGTTAGAACATTTTTTATAGCTTAATGATGCCCCACATGGCGGTGCTACGGTATTCCCCGATTTAATGGTTAAGGTCCCAGCCCAAAAAGGAAAGGTATTGTTTTGGCATAATCTTAGGGGAGAGACCCACGACTTTGATGTCAACACACTTCATGGGGCCTGTCCTGTTTTCCATGGCACCAAACTGGGTGAGTTTCTATAATGTTGTTGAAATATAAAGTTTATTCTATGTATTCTTAATTTCAATGCAGCCATGGCAGGTTGGATTTATGAATATAATCAAATGTTTCTTAAACCTACACTTCGCCAAGGAGATCGATCAAATGCATAATATTTTTACGCGATTTTATTCCCAATTTCAAGCCTTAAAACCTTATTGTTAGATTATTTTAATTCTTATAAATCCTATTTTAAAAATAAATAACAAAATAAATACATTTTTAAAAATAAAGTTTTAATAATGCTTCGAGTAAAGTTTTCTAAAAAACCAAAAAGCTTTAACTATTATCCTTATTATTCATTATCCAGCATGTTGAATGAGGTGTGGTAAAATATTTTCAACAGTGATTTAAGCCAGAAAACAGTTTTTCAGTTATGTCGGATTCAACTTATCTATGTTTAGTCTATGGTTTATTATCGATATCAGTCCCTTGCACCAAATCATTGTGTAGCTCTGAAGGTCAAATTTTATATCTTATGGATTTGTATAAGAAACTCATTAAGGAAATGAGTTTGGACAACCCTTTTGAAAAAATTGCCATTCTAAAAATGTAATTCAACTATTTTATCCTAAATGGTTTTCAATTGTTTAATTTTTCAGAATGGTTAAGGAGTTGCTAAAGAATTATTTTCTAATTACAAATTAATGTAATAACTTTAATTACTTATTAATTTGAACTTATATTCCGCAGTCTGTGGGAGAAGCTGAGGTCGCAAAAATATGAGCCGAAAACATAAGGCAAAAAATTACAACCGGGGAGTACAGGATTGTTCAACGGAAGAAAAGTAAAAGCGTCATATGGAATATTTTATGTTACATATGTACATACAAACATCGAGATGACTCGGATGGATATATTGGATATTTGTATTTGATGGATGGATATTTTGTAGTACATGCGAAATAGTCCATAAATTCATCCAAAGGCAAAACTCAAATTTGTCCAGACAAGTGTTGCATACTATTAACAAATACACAGGAGATGAAAATAGAATTAGATGCAGATAAGAATGAGGTCATAAAAAGATTTATATCTTGGATCGTGAAGGACTGTCACCCGTATTCTGCATGCTTTTTTCTAAAAAATTTAAGGCTTCAAAGTCGGGTTCTATGCCTTAAATCGATGGATTTCGAGAGGTCGACGGGGGAAAATATTTTTTTAAATTGGAAGAAGCCTGTTCTGTGAGTTCAAGGTTGAAGCCCTGAAAAAAAATAAAATTCATCACTGATCGTGGTGCGAATATTAAAAAGGCTTTGCAAGGAAATTTCCGGATTAGTTGCAGCACTAACCTGTGGCACTAAGCACTAACAATGCTTTGAAACGCTTCTTTGATAAGGCAATTGGATTGGTTGGAACTTTGAACAGGTGTAAGTATGTAGGTGACAACGTTCTTTAAAAAGGCGAATTAGCAGTCGGTAGATTGAAAACCAATAAAAAAAAACACTGCCCCACCCGACGGAACTCACAGTTCACGGTGGTAAGATCCAGAGTGGACAACTGGGTGGAGGCCAATCAAATAATTAGTGAGACACCAACGGCATCTGCCCTTGAATTTCGCGGAATTGAAAAGCATTGTCTCAAGTTTATAAAATTTTTAAAGAGAATATTTTAGGATCTTCAAACAGGTAAAGCTCCCTCTCTTGGCTTCGTGATTCCAGTGATTGCTGATGAAAAAGTTGGTAAGCTATTTTAAATTTTTTGGTTGGTTGCTAAAAATAATAGTTATTTAGTGATGAATCGCTGGAATTATGCATTGTAACGAAGTTTAATGTTTCTTCTTCTCTTGATATGAATTTCAGCCTGTCGTTTCCTATTTAATAACTTTTTGATTTATCATTAAGCTTTTGAAAACCATAATTTAATTATTATTGAATATTTCTTATTGTTATTTGTATTTGTATAAAAATTACTCCTCTAACTCGATTCTTAATTGCCTGATCTTCCCATTCAGTTCTCGTTACCTTGAGCTCTAAATCGCACTTCGATTGGCTTTCTTCGCCGGCATCTGGCTGCAGCCAATTGCACCATTAAGTGGGCAATTAAATTCAATTAGCCGCAGTGCTCCACCTCTTGGCTTCCCAGTGGCTCCTCTTGGCCATTTATCACGCATGGCTGGCACTCCAAGCCACCACTTCCGCAATATTTTGTCTGCAAGTTTGCACTTCGATTTCGATTGGGGCGGCTAATAATTTTCCAGATTTATTGTTTGTTCGCCTTCCTGTTTGTTTGTCGCTCTTAGAAAAAGTTTTCCAATTTCATGGCTGCATGTCGTTCCTTACCGCCTTTCCGACTTAGCTTCCAATTAAGATTGATGGCGTGCAGTTTTCTCCGTAAGGAGCACGATGCATTTGTCTTGATTTCACCTTACTGGATTGAGTCCTTTCATCTGCCAGACAACATATGTATGCAGGTTTTATTTCCTTTCTTTTCCTTTCCACCCCTTGCCGAATAACCTATGTTTGTTGGCCAAAGGTAGTGGCGGCAATTTATCAAAATTTGCACACACCCTGCGGATGAGTGATGGACTGGGCAAAGAAGGTAGCTACAATTGGCATGCGTATCCAGTACGCCTGATTGCAGTTATTCTTGTGACTTTTCCAACAGTGATGGTCTAGGTACTCTGCTTTGTTTTGGTACTCTAAGGTACATAATAAATTTGGCCATTTTCAACCAAAACTTTCAAAGATAAATAAGGAAAATGGTTGCCTTTTTTTAAATTATATTCTTCTATTAGATTTTCATATTTTAAATATTTAAAGAAACAGCTTTTTTTTGTATAAATATAGTATGTCAGTAATGTTCACCTTTATAGGGTAAGTACTCATCTATCCCTGGCATCTAGGTAGGGCTATTATGCCTCCTGGCTCCAGCCCTGCACTTGACTTAAATTGCTTTTTTCAATGCCAGTGCCTGGCTGCTCCTGTGCCTGTTGTCCTCGTCCTCATCCTGGCAGGCTTCGTCCTCATACGCAGCCTGTCACATGCGGAGCCAAATGTCATTTCAGCAAAATCCCTCAAGTCGTTCGTCTGCCCTTGTCTGTTTTGTATCTGTATCTCTTCGCAGTGTGCGTATCTGTGTTTCTATCGCACTCTGGTTGCACATGTGTTTGTGCAAAATATGTTGCCAAGATTTTTCTGCGGTGGCTTAAATTGCACTGGGAAATAGGTTGGGGAAAGCTAAGAGACAATGAGCAAAAGCAGCATATTTTTGGTAAAAAGGTGTTTCTAGTCTGCACACAAAAGTTTTAAAGAGATTTTAAAATATTTATGTTTTAAAAGGCTTCTAATTGGCTGACTCTTTGCTTTCCTTATCTTTCAGATAGATTTTTTTACCATAAGCCTTGCAACAATCTCCTTAAAGGGATTTCTTTTTATCCTGGCTCTGCTTGTTGCTCTTTCCCTAATAAAATTAAAATGCCAACCATTTACACTCGACGATGTCGTCGGCGGTGTCCTCCCCTGAAATGCGATATCTCCGGATCTCCATCTCCGCTGACTGTTAAAAAATTAGCAACAATTTTTTAGCATCGCATCAAAACGCGCCCAACTGTCAGCCGCATCCTGGGGAAAATCCACCCCAACCTTTGCCAGGCACTTATCAAGGAGCTGACTTACTTTGTGCGGCTACACCTTGTTACACTCCCTTCGTCCTGTTTGTTGCTCCTTCGCAAAACCACGCACTTTGTCATCTGGTTCCATCTCCCGTTGGTCCCAACTCTGGCGTAATTTGATATGCCGTGGCTTACATTTTTTATCCACCATTACCACAAAACGATTTACTTCCGCGTAGCAATTTGCTTTAAATTTTTATTTAAACAACAATTTGCTCGAGTGCAGATTGAGATTTCCGTTTCTGGGATTTTCTGGTGAGTTTGGAAAGCAGAAAAAAGAGGATTGGGAGTGAGTTTGGATGGAGGTGCAGAACTCAGAGGTTTTTATTTTCAAAGCCAACTCATTGATGCACCTTCAGAATGGCCTTAATATCAAGTCCTTCTGGCTGTAGAGGACACTGCTGAAATTAATTTTCTCAAGAAAACTAAGACGACTTGGCGTGGTATTGTCCTTGCTTCTTGACGCCAGATCCTTAAGCTGGTTGAGGGTTCTTTTAATACTCTATTTGACAGAGACCATTATATGATTTTTTTAATTTTAGAATTATCTATATTAAATAAATAACAAAAACAAAAATAAAATAATTTGTAGGTCAATGTAATTATTTCATAAATAAGCCACATGACTAGAAGACTTAAATTAACTTAAGCTGGTTTCATGTTCGCAGTTGGATTTTTATTTCTTGAAAGAGAACTCCAAGGTAAATCTTCACCAGGACACCCTTATGTATCATTTTTTTTGAGTTTGTTTTCTGCGGTTTTTAATTTGATTTCTTGCACCTTGGCTAATTGGCAATTGGATGCGCTGATGGTGCTGACAGTTTCCACTCAAGCGTTTTCGCCGCCCCGAATTTAAACGCTTTAAATTATCCCCAAGGAGAGGGAGGAGGTGGTAGTCCTGGTCCAACTCCTGGCGTTAATGGCTCTTTTATGGCCGCCACTGTGCGGTCCCCGCTGCTGTGGCAGCTGCAAATATTTCGCCACTGCACGGCCAAGGCGAAGGGGGCGTGGTGCGGCTGGATGGCAGCTTGTTCCGGCAAAAATCTAATCTATGCAAGCCCCACACACATCCTTCCCCTTACCGCCCAGAGAGACAACTATTTTTTTCGCCTGATTTTGTACTTTTTTGTTGCCGCCGCTTGGAAGCTTAACAGTTAATTGCCCCTTGAAGAATACCGCTTCGGAACTCCAGAGCTCTACGGTAGCGGAGTGGACTACACCGTACCTATGTGGACGCAGAGGCACGGCCGGACAATGAAGCTGCAGTCCTGTCTGTGTCCTTGTTGTACCTCGTAGTTATTATCAAGGGTGTGATGAGCTTACTTGAAGGGTTAGTTATGATCTGGTTAAGAATAGAATATTTCGTAAAAATAGGAGGCATGAAAAATAACATAAGACTCAATAAATCAATTAATTCCTTATATTGTTATCCTTGTTAATAGGTATCCTTAAGGCGATATCATAATATCCGAACACTGACTTGTCTATCTCGGTCCCTTGTGCGTGTGTTTTAATCGGTTTGACTTTGTTGCCTGACCTGCGTGGAGTGCACTGAAGATGGGTTGGGAATGGGGGATACGGAGATCCAGGATGGAGTGGAGAGGATGTGGGGGGCCAACAACAAGGACAAACAACGTTGCCAGTGTGGCCTGCAGCAGCAGATTGAATCCTAATCGAGGTTTTGACTTTGGTTACGTTGCGTAAACACGCAACAACCGGCGGACGGAACACACACCCTCCCAAGCCTCCCGTATCCTGTCTGCCCACAGTGCAACTTGCTTGCAGGATCTCTCAATTGTTCAAGTCTCAAATGCATAGCTTTTAGCAGGACCTACTGTGTTGCTTGCCCTGCAGTTTATTGTAGCATACTTGTAGGCAGCTGTTGTTTGCTTGTCCTTCCAGCAATTTGGCAGGATGCGTGGGTGCAGGTGAAGGTGATCAGAGAGGGGCTTTTGCAATTGGGTGGTTCAATTAACCCTCCTGATAGGAGAAAATATTTCTGGGTTTGTAAAATATAAAGTTTTTATTTAAAATTAAATTTCTAAGTATTTTAGAGAAAAAAAACAATATTTAATTTATTATTTATATTTTAAAGCAAGGTATATTTAATGGGTTAAACGTTTTAGGTTTTATAGGATTCCGCGGTGGTCTGCCCACTTGATGATGGCTCTGCTGCAACTTGTGGTCCAGCCACCCTTACCTCCCCCACAAACCTACCCACTCTTCTTCCTGTTTTAAATGCGCTTTTAATCGCCGCGTTGTTGGCCAGAAAGTTGAATCAATATTGAACTGCGGCATGCCTTTGGAGGAGCAGCTGTTGACAGACTCACGTACCGACAGAGCCGGGAAGTGAAACAAGGAAAGAGATGGGTATAGAACGTAGAAAAGAGACACAGCAACTTTTTGACAGTTTTAAGTTTCGGTTTGGGGCCATTCCTTGAGCATGTGTTGGCAACTTGTGACACAAAGGCGCCGTCTCCATCTTCATCGTAAGATTCCCTTCTCAACTCTCTTTCTGATTTTTCCAGCTTTTCCGGACTTTTCCCCTCGTATGCAACAATGCACAGTCTTGACTGGTCCAACTTTCCCCCCTGCGACCTTCAAAGAAAACTTGAACATCACGTAAGCATTTCCCAAGTCCCAGACCCCTTTTTTCGACTGACCCCACATTTGTACATACATCAAAAATGTTGTTTTTCTTTTGTACGATTTTTGCTTAAATTTTGCTTTTACTTTTCGCCGTCGTTGCTGCTGTTGAAAAGGTCAGACATTGTCAGTTAAGTGTCCATGTCCAAGTCCAAAAAGTGTTGTCCAAGATTTCGAGTGCTTTTCACAATTTTTTAGTGCCAACCCTGGGGTTCTTCGTTCCCGCCCATCCTTTTTTGGCTTGTGTCTTGTCTTTTGGCTCTTATTGAACGCCTTTCGGTTAGGTGTCAATGTGCAAAACAGAATTATGGCAAATGGTATTGGAAAACTTTGCCAGCTCTTGTAGTAAATGGATATTACAATTCAGTTCGAAAAGGGAATGGTTTGGAAAAGGCAGGAAAAAGTGGGAGGAGGTAGAAAAGACGGTGCTCTTTAGTGGCTTTAGATTTGAAAATATACATGAGTTTATACCCCTCTTAAAGCTTTAATTATTTTAGATGAATACTAAATAAAATAGCCCAACTCTTACAATACCTAATATAGGAAAAAATTGAGTATATTTTATCTTTAAAACTAAAGCAAAACACACCGTGACATAAATCACAAAATCAACAACTAACGCAAAACGGTATAAAAATCAAGTTATGGGCCAGCAATACAGATTTTGATTTATTGGCTGCTGGCGTGACTCTATCTTTCGTGGCTCCAACCCCTGGTCTATATCGCTCCCTACCCTATCCTTCCCACTCCCTGTTCCTAAGTAGACAGCTCAAAGGCCTAAACGAAGCGAAACCAACAAGAAGAACATGCGAAAACAAAAACAGAACGAGTGGAACCAAAAACCGAAGCCAAACAATGGAGAGCATTTTGATTTGTGACTTGCGACTTTTCACGTAGCATCCTCACTTTTGCCCTTCGACCCCCGCAAAAATATACACACACGCACCGGGGAAAAATCTCCATAAAAAATATGAAAATAAAAATCACGCAACAGGATATTGAAACGTCACACATATGCCACAAGTGTGAAGCCTGGGGGCCGGGTGGGTCGGACAGGACCTCATTCGGCATTAAAACTGTCAGTGGCGCAGATTGCCTGCGGTGGCTAAGGACACCTTCGCACATGATTTATTTGCTGCTGCATTTGTTTGTTGCTCCTGCAGCATCGGAATTGAGTCCAATGGTCTGGGAAATATCCGAGCCGAAGGGGAAAGTGAGTTAAATTGGCGCAAAAAACTGCGCAAAAATTCCCCGTAAACAGTTGCACTTTTCTTCGACTCTTTTTATATTTCGATCTCCCCCCAGCGAGCACGTGCCAAAAGTGCGGAGTGGGCGAGTCCTGGCCAATTGTCAGCCCGACAGTGGAGTCTAGCAGTCAGGACACAGCGGACTGATTGGAACTTTGAGCCTGCAGCTTCTGCCAGGACGAACGTGCAGCGAAAGTTTAAATAAACACGACCGTCAAATAAGAATCGTTGGGGGAATCGCTAAAAGAGTGGGGCATCAAATTAAAGTGGCTTAAGAAGTCATGTGTTTGGTTTAGGAGCCTTTGCAAAAAAGTGTCATTATATTTTTAAGCTTAAAGATTTAGTTTCTTAATCTCACTTTTCTTTCAAAGACATAATTGGAAATTAAAAAAGCTGGGTATTACTTGCCCCATGGTCATCCAAGTGTTATGGATAAAACACACAATTTACTTACACATCTGTGGAAATTCCTAGTGTGATTTTGCCTGAATGTAAGAAGTATAAAAACAACAATGTACTCCTCCTTCATGGATGCCTTTGCTCTTCTCGTGTGTGCGTAGCCTGAAAGCATATCCATTTCACGCCCAAGTGCCGTGGCCGCCTTGGTACCGTGTGTCAAATCCATTAACCTTCTGTTTACTTTTCTACGTCAAGCAGGGAAAAAATCAAAAGGACCCATACACAGACTCTCAGCCGTAGTGAAAGTGTTTTGCGGTAGAAATTTGATACTTTCACCAAATTGCGTTGCACACTTGAGGTCCTTCGAGTCAAGCTCTGGGTTGGACCTCCCCTCCACCCATAAATCTTACCTAGGCGTGGGCAAGTGGTGCGGGAAATGGAGCAGCAAATCAACCACACTGGACCACCCACCCACAAGCACACATACACTTTCTCCCGTTCATACACATATCCTGGGAGCTGCGAAAAACTCCTGCTCAGAAATGAGTATTAAGTTGACGTAAATTGCGGTCCATTACATTAGCCAGAGGAGGGACTCGGAAATTGGGTGGAGATATTTGGGGGTCTTCCAATTAACCTCGTGTCTCTGCTAATTGCTTTTGTAGTTCTGCTCGTAATTGAACAAATATTGAGGAATAATTTATGGGGAAGTAATAGATAAGAGATAATGATGGGAAGAACTGGGAAAATATAGTCTGTTTGGTTGTTTTGGAAATTCCCTAGTAACTATCCACAAAAAATGATTCCCTAAAATATTTTTAATTTATTTCTAGCCTATGTCTTATCTTATTACAGATCGTTTAACACTTTCTGTATGACTTACCTTATTTTCACAGATTAATATCTCAACCCACAAACCAAATAAAAGTTGTTTAATTAAATTAAAAAACGTAAATCCCGATTTTAGTCCTGTGATAAAATAAGAACTCAACGCAAGCATTAAGGAAATGAAAACCACATTGGGAGAAAAAACAAAGGAAAAGCCAAGGAAAACGTAAATGATTTAAGAACTTTATCGGACATCGGCGACCAAAAAAAAAGGAAAAAAAACTGGAAGTGGTGGAGTTGAAAAGGACACTTGCCAGGAGCTTAAAAACAACGCTTGTAGGTGATTATGCAGCACATAATTTATGCAGGCAGCCAGGAGCAGGATCCAGGACCAGAAACAGGACAACAGAACAATGGACGAAAAAAGGAGCTGGCGACCTGGCGTTGGGCGAAACTGATTTAATTAAGCAGGTGATTAAAGTTGATGCCGGTTATTTGTAGCAGCCAAGAGCGCAACAAGAAGAGTCCACTTCGTCCTTCTGAAGCATCCTGTTGCTCTTTTTTTCTATTTCCGCTTTAAATAAGAAACAAGAAAAGTTTGACGGAACTCCACTAGACGGAACTTACTTTTGGATTCAAGATAAAATAAAATTTGATGACCAACGAGGCGTATACGTAATTTTTGATGCCTTTGACGTTGAAACATAAGTACCATTAAAAGAAAAAGAAAAAAGAAAGAAATTAAATGTGTATTCTTAATTTAAGTAAATCTAATAATGAGAGCTAGTGTTGTTTATTAAATCTTATTTTTAAAAGCCAATTCCAAGTAGGTTTGCATCCTTTTTATGTCCTTAAAATCTTTGTTTGTGCATCATTATTTTGATGACATATTTTGCACAAAATCGATTCATTTGAGGGTCAGCCCAGAGCGCACTCAACAATAAAACGCAAGAATCAACAATTATGTTAATTTCCTTTGTGGGTCAATGTCTCTCACACACACCCACATCTTCATCCCACACACATCCCACAGAAAGTGTCTAGTGTGTGTGTGGGTTGTATTTTATGGTTATATCTTGGCCAGAACTGTCAGCACTCGAGCCGGCGAAGACAGCTGCAGTGGGTAAAATAAATTAACATTATTTATGAATTTTCTTTTGGCGACTTTACACTCACGATCTTGGGCTAACAGCGATTGCTCCCACATTTCCCCTGCTGTTAGGTAGGATTTTCCACTCTACTGGCTAACAGTGAAAGTTTTCGCTCACTTTTTGGCATCCGCTCTCTTATCGGTACTGCGCATGTCCTACGCTGATACCTTGGAGACACGTGCCTGAAGTCAGCTTCAGATATATAATGTACCTTACGCATCCACCAATCTACCTGCGTCAGAACCCCCATCCCCCAACGGCGCCACCCCCTCCCCATCCTTTACATATATATTGGCCTGTGTGTGTGTGTGTGTGTGTGTACCTGCTTTAGGTGTTGGCTCATCGTCTTCGTTTCCATCGTCGTCGTTGTGGCATCGTTTCCGTTGGCGCAAAGAGAGCGGCATGCTGTGCCGTAGGTGCCAGCTGCGCTGCTACATCTCTCTCTTACCTGTGCCCCACTCCTGCGCTCCCATTCCACTAGCCCCCCTTTAACCGTTCCCAGCTGCAACCTCAACCGCAAGTAACAGTTCACCGTCTCATTCGTCGTACGTTTTTCGTTCGTTGGCTTCGCTCTCACACATACCGTCGCACACCGACACACATACACAATCAGAGACAGGTTGTTGCCTGTCCTGCTGGCTCGCTTGCTCTCGCTGGCATATATGGGTTGGTCTACCTACGCTTTTTAAGGTGAGCACGAAAATGTTGGCAGCCAACCAAAGCCAAGCACCTTCGAGGGGGGTGTAGGGGGTGGGGTGGGGCTCGTGTGCTTTTCCGACGGCGAGGAAAAACCTCTTCCTCGCGAAAGCCTTGCAATTTGATTTATGGCTGCATAAAACTTAGATTGCACTCTTAAGGTCGTTAGTGAATGGCTAGAACGGGAATTCTATCGATTCAATCTTCATTTTCGCAGAGGTTCGGTTTTCTTCTAATTTCCTACTTTCTCCCCCGTCCTCTGGCTTACAGCCCCTACTCTTCTCTCACCTTTTCCGTCTTCCCCATCAACGTCATCGTCATTTTCCAGCATCGTGTCCTCGTCAACGTCTCGTCTCATCTCTCTCGGCTTTCACCTTTCTCCGCCTTCAGTGGTATGCGTGAGTGTCTGCCTGTGTGTGTGTGCGAGCTGGTGAGGTGCTCTCATCTCGTCTGGAGTTTTTGTGTAGCGCAGATTTAGGTGCGCAGCTTTTGCTCGTTAGGTACTCGTTTTTTCTTCTACGTTTTTTTTACTGCTCCTGCTGTCTTAGGTAAATACAAATGAGAAAGCAAAGGGGCCAGAGCAAGAAGGCACGATGTGCGACAGAGAGAGAGCGAGGGCCAAGAGAGAGCAGGTGCGCTGGGACTCGAACCAAGCCAAACTAAACCAAACCAAAGCGAACCCAACCCAACCCCGCCAGCCGCCAGGACCGGAAGGTGTGTCTCTCCGAGTGCGTTAGGTGCTCGCCAGGAAAAGCTGGAAAAGCGGGAGCAGCTGGGGGAGCAGCTGTGATTTATGCCAGCCAATGGACGAGCTCCTGGCTACGTGAGATAGAGGTGGGTAGGTGTGACACTGCCACTCTCCATCTCCGTCGCTCATACGCCACGTGGGCTAAAAAATGGCGACTCGGCTACTCGCACCTATGAGCGCTCAGCTCTCGGCCAAATTGGAAAGGGGCAAACTTTTCTAATTAGCCAGAGTCAGAGGGGAGCCGGGCGGGGGAAGAAATAGGAGCCCCGACAAGAGTGCGGGTAGGTGGGGGCTGGTGTGGGCGGTGGAAAAACTTTTGCCTAGCCCCTCGACAGACGCGCCTCTTTATGGATTTTCCGACTGCCCGCTGGGTGTTCTTTCCCTTTTGTTCCCTTTTTTTTTTTGGCCTTCTTTGCTCTTCCTACATTTCCCTCCGACTTTCGTCGGCGGTGTCAGTGTCCTCGTTAGGATGCTGGAGCATTTTCTTGTGCGCAGCGATTTTCCTCGACTCTTTTGTTGCAGATAAAATCGATAGCTCTTTATGGCAATTTAATATGACCTTCGTGGCTTACTTATACACATAAATTCTGTACTTTTGCTAGGCTCTTTATGGCCTCTTCTCGCTTTCGCCCTACTTCGCCTCCCTTGTAGGCAGTTTTTGTTTATAATGCTGCGTTTTCCCCTCGTAATTCTGTGCTGCTTTTTGCAATTGCGACGTTCGACTGTTTCAACAGGTCGTATGCGCAATCTGTTACCGCCCGTTTGCCATTTTTGGCTGTCCTCTGGCTAAAGGTCAGCTATTTGACATTGAACTCGAATCTCTCTGTTCGACAGCAATTGAACTCTTTCTTTCTTTGTGTGTCTGAAATCGCGGCGACCATCATAAGCAGATATCTATATATATCTATAAATGGGCTTTTGATCTTTACTCGGATCAGAAATCTTAAGGAATGAGATTTTTCAAGCTCAATAAGGGTTTTTAAACTTCAGAGTAAAATATATAGATACATATCTTAGATTTTAATACGGTTATATCGCCATAGTTAATTTATTTTTAGTAAAATCTTAATCTTATTTTTAGAATATCTTAACCTTAATGCTTATATACATACATTTATGAATGAACTTCAACCTGCATAACAATTTATGCTTAAATATTATTGTTGCTTATTGTTAAGAATCGTATTTACTTTTTACTTAATTTTGTTTCTTTTGACTAATCTCCACTTTTAAAATTTGACCCTATTCAGAGGTGGTGGTCAGTATCTTTAACTCGTCACCCACTCCAATGGCCACTTTGAGGTTTGTCTGCTGGCACAAGAACATGTCCCACACTTACTCATTCCAATCCTGCCCCTTGAGTCCGACAATAAGTCAGGGCATTAGTCGCTTGAGAAATTGTCTGTTTACCTTGTTGGGCAGTCGCCATTGCCATTGCTGTTGCCGTTTCCAGTTGTGCAGTTTGCCAAATGGCACTCAAAGCGCTAAAATATGAAAAATGAGACGCAGGAAGCGAAATTACAAGCCAGCGCCAGGAGTATCCTGCTACCATTCAGTTATCCTGCAGCACCTCCAGACTCCGGGGAGCAAAAAAGAAAAAAATAAAACCCGCAAAGTGGAGAGACCCAAATGAAAAGTTGAAGTAATAATTGTGCGGCGAAGGCGACGACGACGACGCCGCCAGGGGCAACCTTACACATTTTCATTTGGTCATGTCCGGTGGTGTCCGACGATGGGTAATGTTTGTCCAGACGACCCCAAGTAGCCCAACACACGTTCTCATCCTTGCTTACACACAGATGCTACGCTTTTGTTTTTTTTTTTCAATGGGTATTATGGGGTATGCTGTTTTTAAGAGTACTTTATGGTTAAAAAATATATACCTTTTATTGCTTTACATTTAAAGATATATAAAACCGTGGGCTTATACGTACTTGTAACCATTATTATAATTTTTTAAAAAGTATATTTTAGTTTAGACTCCGGTTTATGATTTCCATTTTGCCTTTTTCCCCCACTTCGTTTTCCTGCACTCTGTCATCACCAAATGTTGCCAAGCATTTCTGACCATTGGTCAGAAGAAAAGTAGTTGGGAAGACAACCGGGCGGGCAGAGGGAAAAAGGAGCAGGGACACCTCTAAGTGGACTTCATCAGATGCGCTTCGCCGAACGTTGGCGGCGGCATCATAATCATTCCGTCCTGCTCATCATCTTCTCGCTGATTCTCTATCTTCGTCATGGGTTTGTTTGCTTCCCTTTGCGGTTGCCATTTTTGGGGTCAAAGTTCCGGCACGCCATTTCCCATACTCCTCCATCTGCTAACTGTGTAAAGTCCTTTGGTCTTTATTTATCTTTAAGATTTTCAACTCAGTGCACAGGTTTTTTGTCCAGTCGCTGACTTATGACCACAACAATGCGTCAGTCTGGTTGCTGGACATGCCTTCAAAGGCATACACTGAGCGAAAGGGGTTACGAATGGCATTGGACAAGTTAAAAAACTAGCACAAAATGTGTAATTTATATTAAAAAATGTATTTTTGTCAAGGAAAACTTTCTGAAAGTCCTAAGTGTATATAGCTCCTGAGATTTTTGTCACTGTCCACTCGAATCTGCCATTTGCCACATATCCTGGCCTGAGTATCCTGCGTGTTTGTGCGGCTGGTCTTGGCCCAGCTAAGTGGAAACCGTAGTTTTTCTTACTTATGTCCTGGCAGGAGTGCGCGACTCATAAAGATTTGTGTCTGCGCTCTAATGTCATAAGTCAAGTGCCGGTCGCAGTTCACGGACTCACGTGTCCTGTTTTTCCTGATTTCCCTTGTACCACATATTCCCTTTTTTCTACTCCTGAAAGAACTCTTTCTAGAGTTTAATTGCGAGAGGGCATTAAGCAATTACTGCTAGTAGCTACAATGGACTTTTGGCTTTAATTTAATTTGTCACACTTTGTGAGTGCAGACAACTTTACACTCTGGCCACAACGAAGTAGACCAGCTGGCAGGTCCCCAAGGGAGCGAATTGAGTGGTAAGGGCAGGCAGATTGTGGCCTGCCGAAGCCATTTTCAATTTGACTATGCCGGAAGTTACCTGCTGGCGCCAACATCTTACACACACAGTCACTGGGTCCGGCACTGAAGTCATTTCCTGTGCACAGACTGGTGTCCCAGTCCTGGCCCCCTGAAGTCCTGTCCAGTGGCTTTACGAGCAAGTGTCCCATGTGGCCAACAGGGACTAGATTAAATTGGCATCTTTTGTTTTGGAGTGACTTTGTTCTCGCAAATGAGAATGTGAGCAAATTAAAAGTTGGCCAACTGGGAGATGGTAAAAGGGCAGGTTATATAAGCATCAGCAGTAGCACTTCTCACTCTGTTTAAATAGTTGAGCCATTCATCAAGGCAACTTGAATTAATGCCTCACATTTTCAGACTCTTCCACCGATTAATGAAATATTTACAAGCTCAATTGGCTAGACAATGAATGCTGATTTATTTGTGGCCTGGCTTTCTTATCTTCACACTTAATATGTCCTGAATGCTCGACTGTTTGATCTTAACCCTTTGCCGAGTGATTTCCTTGGCATGTCTAATTGAAAAAGTTTGAGCCCGAAAATAGTTGACGAGCGGAATGCGACAATTCGGTAATGCGACTCTGACTGGCGACTCTGTTGCACTTTGCATCATTTTGGAAATGCGGTTCACTCTGAACAGAAACTTTTCTTAGGCTCTAAACTTTGCTTGCGGTTTCTGCAGGCCTTGGCTAATGCAATTCGGTCTGGCCTTATCGGATTCTGGTCGGATTAGAATTTTGCCGGATGGTGGTTGGTCAGCAATTTATGATACGCACACTTTCAATTTTCCTTTCGATTTCTCTGGACAGGCTAATTGCCCGATACGCTTCGCATACGATATTATATATAAATCCGGCTGGGCTGGGCCAGACGGAACAAAACAAGTTAATTAAACGCTTCCGTTTTCCTTTCGCTTTTTGCATGTTATCAGTGTCCTGGCATCACTCGGTCCTTCGGGCTTGGTCCTTAATTACGGAGATTTGTATGCCGCTTCGGACTTTCACTTCTCTGCATGTCTCGGATTGCGTCTCACACATGTTTGCGGGGACGTTTTTATATGGAAATTTATTATTTATTAACATTAATTATGGGGGTCAGTGGTGTAATTGAAGAAGCCCATTGGCCGAAGTTCGGGTTTCGGCTGCTGATGTCAGCGCGGCCAATTAACTGAACATTTGTGGGCAGAACACATTCCTATGGGCTCAAAAGGAGTTAAAATGGAGACATGTTAACCAGATTTTCACAGAAAAAGGAACATTAATATGCCAAACATAGGCGCAACTCTATTTAAATGCTTCAAGCATATTGGCCTAAAAACGGGGATTTATTTATGGCTTGTAATTGTTTTCAACGGATTACACTTTTCAAGATGTACATGACTGATAAATTCCTTAACCATTTTTGAAAAGTAAGTCTAAGCCGCGTTACTTAGCGCGCTGAAAGCCTAGATGTTCTTCCCCAAAAAGTAGGCAACATTTTCTGTACTTTATACCTACTAGCGCATTAAACAGTTTAACATGCAATTAACACGTAAAGCTCTGGCACATGCTCATGTGTTAGTTTGCCCCGCACTTGTTGTCGTACGTGTTAATAAAACTAATTTGATTAGCTAACTAGTGTAAGTAGCGGTTTCCACTTGTCTGTTTGCCTATGCCAGCCACTAGCTCTCAAAATCCGCCCGCACATCCCTTCGCCCACTGCTCCATGTTTGCATTGCCTAAAACAACAACAGTCTGCTAGTGTTTCGGGTATCAAGGGGTTGAGGTGGGGTGTGCCGCACACGTTTGGCATTAATTTAATCCTTCCGCAGAATAAAGTGATATCGCCCTCGAAAGCCAGCCACTAACAAGGCAAACACATTAAATATTTATGCAGACATCAGCACTCAGACACACTAGCACACTCACATATGGGAAATTAGTCCTTTAAAGCTGGTGCGGCAGTATCCAGTGTGTGTGAGAATTTTAATTGCTGTCGTCAAAGGCTGAGGTAAGAATAATTGCAAGATTGGGAATAATGTGCCAAGTTTGGTGGATACGAGTCGGTGGGGAAGGTTGATTACATCAAAGGGCACCCATTCGCACTTTGAAGTGTCAACAGGCAACGGAAGGATATCCAAAGGCAGGAGACAGCAGGAGCAACAACAGCCACAGTCCTGTTATCCATCAAGGCATCTTTCACTTTTGTCAGCGAAATAACAATGGCCTCTTAATTACACCAGTGAGTGTCGCTTTTTTCATGTGTGATTACTATGGGTATAGAAGAAGGATCACTGTGGATAATACATACATTTTTGAAAGAAGAAAATAAATTGAAATCTTAAACATGTAATATATAATTTATATTTAATAATAATTTATATTACTAATAATCTCTTTGTTTAACTTCTTTCGTTAGGGTGTTTTTCTGAATATGACTTAAATAAAATACAGCTTAAAAAATACTTTATTATTTTATTAGTAATTTAAAAGACTTTTCTGCCAGTCTTATGAGAATTCCACAACTTCAAGTGTTTGTTTAGTCAGATGTTTGCTTGACACTTTTCTTTTGGCTTCCTTTGCTTTGCAGATTCTGCTTTTGGCCAGCACTTGTTGGCAAGTTTTCTTTTTGCCTCTTTGGCTTCCTTTTCTTTCCCTTTGGCCTTTGCCTTTGACTTGGCCTGGTATAATGAGCACACATTTGCCGAAGTCTACATCCGTATGTGAGGATCTGCCGACAGGATGTTAATTTCAATTTAAATGCTGGCCAGTTCCTTGAGTTCCCATGGCCCCGAGGCGAATGTCTCAAGCAACTTTGTCCAGTTTGGGCCAACTTCCTTGGCTCACTTTTGACTGGCAATTGCATTTGACCAGAGTCGAGGCCCTGCGGCCTTGGTCTTGACTTTAATTGGATTCTTTTCGGATAAGTTTGAACTCGGGCCAAGTTGAAATGAATTCATTTTGAAACAGGCCTTCCTGGAAGTTTGTTTTCCTCTTGAATTTAATTCCATTGCTGATCTTTGGCCACTCATTTGGCTAATTAGAACGGCATAAACAAACAGACTCAGCTTTTCACAGATATGAATTATCGGTTCGAGTATAGCACACCGTCATGCCACGCCCACCATCCTCCGCCCCGCATGACAGCTCATAACTCATGTATCGAACTTGGTTTCAGGCTTTGGTTTCGGGCTAAATCTTGGAGCAGCCGCGGAAATCACGTACAGCCAGGATGAAAGTTGCCGGAGCCGTGGCATTATTGTCTTTTAAGCTAACCCAGTTTCCCGTCTCCGTTCGCCCTCCTTCCGTTGCCATCGACCACAACAGCTAATTAACGTTAATTTATTAAATCAGTGAGCAAGTAAAGGCATCCGGGGAACTTTTGGGAAGGGGCTGGCAGCCAAAGACAGCGCCAAGATAAAACTTGCACACGACGCTGCTCGGTTCTGAGCTCAGGCTTAAGCACTTGGGTTTTTTCTCTACCCTGTACTACACTAGGTATTCAGGGGTATATTCTGTTCCTTGCTATTAAATCAAATTCAAGCTAAAACTTTAAACCTTAAAGTATGGTTACTTTAAATAATAACTTTAAAGCCCTTAGTTTTTTCAGATAATTAAGTCCCATCATATTACAGAGTATCCTTTAATCTATACTCCGGTCCTTACTTGGCATTCTTAGTTGTCTTAGCTGGAAAAGCATGAAAACCACACGCAGCAATTATTAATTCAATTATTTTAGCGCAAACAGCCACCTCAGACTAGGAGCAGGATTCCAGTGGCAGGACCAAGACGCAGGAAGCTGTGTGGCATAAATGAGTTCTCTGCGATTGTGCGAGTGTGTTCGAGTGAGTGGAGGAAATAGAGTAGCACAAACACAATTAAGACATCGCTGGGTAAGAGCACCGGGAATGGGGAGCCAACGAAAGGAGAGCAAATAAAGTGGCAAATTTAATTAGGAATCGGCAAAAAGAAAGCAGAAGTGCACCAGGCACCAGGACCCATCGTATTCGGGGGATAAAGTTGCTGATACCTGATGATGATAGCCCACATCCAGTCAGGGTTGCAGTTGCCGGACATGTGAATTAATAACAGCATCCGGTTCCGGTCAAAAGAGGCGCTTTTTGGGCTCCGTGGAGTTATAATAATAATATTAATAATGAGTGGCCAAAAAAGCAGCCGGAGCCAGCAGACGGCGAATGGCGGGCAACGTGTCCGTAACAACTTCCGGCACCGAGTTGGACATTTTATTGTCGCTGGAAAAGTTTCCCCCGGGGGGCCATGGCCGAATGTAGGTAAATTGTAAAATGCAAAAGTTTTGCCAAGTTAAAGTCACCTGCTCGGGTTCCCAAACTACTAAACAGTCCTTGTAGGGGGGAGGAAATCGAATGGCATGTCCCTTTTGTTTCAATTCACGGGCAGGACAATTGGCCAGACGGCAGAACAGGAGACAGGCAGGCAGCTCATCAGCCTTCAAGGTATAATTTGGCCGGGGACTATTTCATTTTACGGCCAAAGTGGCGCATTTGCATAAAGTTTTATTTTCTTTGACCCGCACTTGGGGATTTCTTTGACTCGCTTGTCCTTTTGCGTTTCCTTTGCCTTCGCCTTTGCCATAGCCTTGCCATCATCCTGGCTGATTTCCATTCGCATTTCGTCTACTTTGTCGCCAGGAAGTGATTTCCTGCAGCTGCAGCTATTGAAATTCAATATCTCTGCGAGGGGACCAACAAAATCCCAGTGGCGTTGGGTGTGGGTGTGTAACTTAAAGCTCTAGATCCCGGATTGGCTTTAACAAATGTTTGCACCACATCCCAGTACATCACACATCAGTCACCCACTCAATATCGAAAGGTAATTTGAAAATCAAACAAGGAGCGCCAAGGAGCCATGGCAAATCCTTTCAATTGCTGCAATTTGCTGGATAAATAGGATCAAAATCGAATTTAAACGGCAAACACATTTTCCGTGATTTCGATTTTGTTGACAGAACTTTTCACTCATGTTGCCGAATAAGCAGATTATTGCCAAAAAAGAGGGTTGTCTACCGCGCACCTAAAGCTCACGGATATGCAAACAAGGTCTTGGTCTTGGGGGTTTGATGGCAGCGTTTTTAAACGCCTCAGAAATATTTTAATTAAATTTCGCATTTGCACTTGAATGGATATTTCTGTGGCAGGCGAAACTATTTACGTGCCTGAAACAAAAGTGAAATCATTCGATTTTATTTATTTTCACTCGAAACTGGAAACTTTTGAGGCTCCATCTCCTGCGTCTTCGAGGGAAAACTTGCGCAAAAAGGCAACCGAAAACTTTTAGAGAAAACTTTCTTGGTTTTCCCATCGCCTTTCTGCCTCGCCCGCCCCTCCTCTTCCACAAACATAAACAAGATTAATTTCACATGTTTTCCAAGAGGTGGAGATGGGTTGGATGGAGGGTGGAAAAGCTGCTCGAGTTATTACTTTGATTATGTTTATTCTAGTCATGAAATCCGAATGCCCGTTTCATGTGCACTTCATTTAATAAGCCCCTGCCCCAAACTAAAAGCGCGAAATGATTTCCATAGCATTTTTGTCAGCTCGCGGAAGTTTTCCTCGGCTCGTGTGATTAGCCAAGTGAAAAAACAAGAGATTAGACAACTATTTCCAACTTCATTTTCGAGTGGATAAACAACTGGTTTGGAATTAACATACCTCATTATCCATTTAAGTGAGGTGAGTTGAAGAGAGGACTACCCTGGGGTTTCTGGATTTTAAAATTTAAATCATCATAATTAATATTAAGTTTCAATATTTCTTACTTTTGAGGCGACTTTGAAATGATCGCCAACTATTCTTTCTAATATAGTCACTAATCTAGGAACCGTCTGTGATCTTTCCACTATTTTGCCCATTGCTTGGCCAATTTGGCTGGGATCCAATGCTAGATTCCCACAACCCCGATATATCTGCATATACCTCAGTCGGTGCGATCTGTGGCGACTCTTAAGTGCTTTTAATTATGTCCACTTAAGTCTCAATATCGTCAGCTTCCGAAGTGCGCAAATCACGAAGAACCACACGCATTGCCATCGCGATCGTGATGGCGAAATGAAAACAGGAAAGACCCGGGGACTCGGAGGAACTCTCTTCTCTGCGCTCGGCGCACTCTAAATAAAGCATAACAATTTATGAAATTTTAATTTTTACACTTAATAACACGCCGAGTTATGGGCGCGCCAAGTGAAACGGGCCAAGCGAATTTGCCAGGAGAAATGGCAAAAAAAGTGAGATGTGTGATAGAATGGCCAAGGTAGGGAGACCCAAGGGGGCGAGGGCAACGAAACGCTTATAGAGACATCAATGTGAGACGCCCGGGCAGGTGGCCCCCCCTCCGGGCAATAGTGGGGCGAATAGTGGGGGCAACTTGTGTGGCACGGCCGCAGACGTTGGGCGCAATTAGAGACGCTCTATGCCCGCTATATTTGGTTTCCAACGGATTCCCGTGGAATATTCTCAAAAGTAGAGTGCTCGCACCGAAAAAAAAATTAATTTACTTTTTATGTATTTTTATTTCAACAACCTAACCATTAGTTAGTTACAAGTGACGAACAATTTTTTTAACTTTTAGTTATCAAAGTATTACATCTATCCGGGGACAACTCGATCGTCCGCATGAAATACGTACAAATTTCTCGAATACTGTACAGGACCTCTGCCCCCTTAATACGAGATAAAAAAGTTGACAATTATTTTAGTTAAAAATGCACCAAACAAGAATTTTCAATTTTAAAGCAGACCAACTATTGAAAATTCTAGTCGGAATATGACTAGAATACGTGTATCCCGGTCTTTTAAAGGTTTTTGTTGCAGTGCATTCCCGGATGAACGATTAATTTATGGAGCTGTCTCATGGACATGTTATACTATGTTGGGTCCCTCTCCAACACTCCTAGCACCTGGTAGGTAGTCCAGGCTGGAATTAGGAGGGGCTGATGCTGTTGGTGTTGTTGCAGCTTGCAATGGTAGCGGCGCTGCAGCTACCGGGAGCGGTATCCATCTCCGACGGATAGTCCGCGGAGACCTCGCTGGTGGCGTGGATCAGATCCCCAAGCATCTTATCCATGAGTTCCTGCTGCTGTTTTTCGAATTCGGCATGGAGATACTTTTGCTCGTCGGCCTGACGTGCAACCATGGACAGAAAGCGTTTCCTCTGCTCCTGGATTTCAAGTCGAGCTTGTTCGGACAGCGGAGTCCTAATGCTCTTGGGAATGTTAGGTTTGGGGACAACCTTCTGTTTCGCCAATGATTCTTCACGTTTTTTGGCCATGTTATATCTTCCCACAGACAATTTTTGGTCATAATTCTTGCGCCTCTCAGCAGCACTCTGGCACCTGGACATCGGTGGAGTGGGCTCGTAGCATGCCTCATGACCCGGGGTAATATAGGGTGCAGCTTCATCAATCTTGACTTTTTTTTGAATTAGAGGAATCTTACTACGAGGTTTGACCTTTGTCTCCTCCTTCAAGACACGGGATCCGGACTCTGAGCTGTCTGGTGTTTTGATAGGAGTCTTTCGCACTTCCAGCAAGCGCTGACCAGCTAACTGGTTGCGGCGCCACAATTGGTGGTGCAACTTGGTTGAGTCCACGCAAGTTTGACTGCGTCTTAAAATGGGCAGCTCTTCAGTCCCAGTCACCCAGCTGGACTTCTGAATTTCGCTTGGAGTACTTTGAAACTCGACCGCCATTTGTGGGGGACCCAGAAAGGTATCCTCCACGACCACTTGAGCGACAACAGGCTCCGGTTTGATTTTTCGCGGTTCCAAGTTTATGACCTCATCATTTTTTCCATTGTCATGGATCGTAGTTTCCGAAACACTCAACTTCTGACGGAAGCGTCCCATCACAATCAAAGGCTCAATAGCCGAATCAGTATTGGTTTCTTTGGTCTCCGAAGAGGGCTTCGGAGGCGGTGGCAGAGTCTCAGTTGAGGCCTCAAATGTAGCGCACGAATCAGTCTTCTGGACACACATCAGTTTCTTCTTTAAAGCGGCTTCCAGGAGCAGAACCTTTATCTCCAAGCGTTTCTCATTAGTCATCTAAGGTGAGGGAAAAACAAGAGCCTGTCAATACAAGCACTTTCCGAAACATGTTATTAATGCAAACCAGTGGCGGCAGAATGGGCTTTCCACCCAAGGTAAATCCGGATTCAAAGTCCGCGACAATATTCTTCTCCATCTCATTGTTTTCGTTTCGCTGAATTGCGTCATTGGCCTCTTGCAGCAGGTTGTCCATATTGAATAGTACAAATTTCAGGTATCAAAAAAATAGATGTGTCTTATAGATAGGGGAATATGGGAACAATTTTTTTTAGATGTGTCCAGTGTAGAGTAAAGTAATAGAATGAAGTAGGGAAGGGAATGAGGTCTACCTAACCTAGTGTGACAGTAAAAGTAGTATGAGTTTGTTTTCATGGCATACTATTTCCCCATTATTGGCTCAGAGAAATGGATTGTTTAGTAAGAGGTACGAATGGTAAGAACAACTTTGATATTTAGATTTTTTAAAAGTTTATAATTGATCAAAAATTTAATCCAAAAACATTGTGGATTTGAAAAGAAACCAAGAATTAAATATCAATCCAACACAGTTTTTAAAACTTTGTATTAAATCCTGGCTATTTCTTGCAGTGATGACCACATGCAATCCTCATCCATTTGGCAGTCCGTGTTCGTATTTGAGTCCACATCCGGACGGAGGCTGACAAATGCGCCGCTCGTCGTCGGAGCGTGCCGCAAAAGGTATGGGCAGCCAAGCGTGTCCAGTGGCAGGAGTGGCAGCAGTAAACAAGGACGTAGCAGGAGCACAAATAAAGTCCACTCCATTACCGGCAGGATGCCATGCCACAGTTTCCCTGCGTCTGGGTTGCAAGTCGCACTTGGACGGTCTGTAAATTTGTCTTGGGCGCTTGTAGGTGTGATTTGTTTTTTAAATTTCGGTCCGCCTTCAGGGTTCCTGAAGTTCCTGAAGCTGGCCAATTTGTCCTGGGCCCTTTTCTATTTTTGTTTGCTGGTATTTGAGTCCCCCTGTTAGTTGACTTTTTATTTGCAATGGAGTCACGTAGCATTTTCACTAGCACACTCTTGTACGTATTTGGACAGCGACATGCGGCAATTTTCCACTAAATTTGCCATGTCAAACATATTTTGAATCGAATCCAGCAAGACGGGCGACCTGGCTCATAAAGAATTCAAATTAATACATTAACAGCTTCAGATAAGCGACCTTCGGGGAGCGTCAGGTAATAAACGTTGAGTTGTTCGTGCCAAAGTCTCGAAAGTTTGCGCGCCAAAGCAATTTGCCTCAAGTGGCAATTCGGGAGCGTGCCAAGTGCCTTGGTAACGGTAACAGCTCACGGATTACACAACGGAAAGCAGGAGGTTGTGGGAGGTGGGGATTCTTGGGGGTTTTTACGGTTAACCACCAGCACCACAAAAGGTATTTATCTCATTGTGCGTAGATTAAGAGCTCTTCTCAAATTAGGTGAGTGTCGTCACGTGACACAAGATTCCGATGAGGATAAAGCAGGAGACGAGGCTTAGATGAAGTAAGGTGAACGAACAGGAGAGAAAGGATAACCCTCTTTGTAAAGATGTAAACTTTAAAAAAGTGAACTAAAAGCCCGGCTAGTAGCTTAAAGATTCTTACCACCTTTGGTCATTCAAAGCTGCACCCCTTAAACCCCTTTTTCGTTGAATCCCAAACCAAACCAGACCAGAACCAGCCTTTGCTCCGGTTACACTTCATAAATTTAAAGAATTATGAGCCGTGACGCAGACGGAAATGGAATGCAACCGCAGTGGCAGGAACACGGCCAGCTCCAAGTGGCCAAGTCGACATAAACGTATAGACGGGAAGTTGAAAGGGGAGCCAACAGGTAATAACGGTTGCACGATTGGATGCTCCCGACAATTTCTGTTAAATTTACAACGAGGGCTGGTGAGAGTCGGCTATCTGTGTCTCCAGTGTCCGATTCAAGCCTTGATATCCTTGAACATTGATATTTTTGACCATGACTTTGGGGACCCAAATCAATCAAAGTTTATCATCGATTTTTTCAGCTCTGGCGCATTTTTAAATGAGAGTTCAAGGATCAAAAAACAAAGTTCAAAGCGTCGGCAGTCGCTTTAATTGAGTTGCCACAGACTCATGCATATGCAGGGCTCAATTAAAAGTGCGCCAAGAAAAACTGGAAGACAAACAAAAACAGGAACGGCGCAAGGACAACTCCTCTTTGGCTTTCGTGGGGTAGAAAATGTCTGCAAGTGACTCGAGTCGAGTCTGAAGTCGAGCCGGCACTGTCTGTTGACATTTCGCGGTATGAAAAAAATTAAATTAAAATGCAAATTAGGCATTCCCAAGGAGTCTGGCCACCTTCACATATTTTTCCTACTCCTTGGAGCTGCTCCGCCTTTATTTTTTGCAACTCCTTGAGTGTCTCGGGGTAAAAGTGACAAATTGTTGTAAACACTGCAAGTTACGTATACGACTCGTGGGACCTGCTGGCTCTCGACTGACACCTACCAAATAAAGGGCACCACAAAGCCAGGGAGCTGTACCTATTTTATACATATTTTATCAGAGCCAAGAAGTCCCGACTTAGGGCCAAGATGAATGTTTTTATTTCTGTGCCCTGCGCCCTGTCCGCTCTTGTTTCTTTATGCGGTAAATTATGCAAAGTAGTTGCGTAATGCTCTTGTTACAATAATTTAATCTTGTAATCTGTTTCTGTTCGACTGCGGTTCTCGTTCTCTAGGAAAATGCCATAAATAATTCAGCCGGCCCGCTGCAGATGTCGCTGAAAGCAGCCGAAGGCCATATCCTTGAAGGAATCTTTGCATTTTTAATTTCAAGGTAAACAAGCGAAGATAACTTCGCCGCCAGAAACGGAATCCTAATGAGCACTCCTCAAGGTAGCTTCACCCTGTCTATATTCCAAACTTCCAAATTGACATTTCAGAAGAGCTGAGGACGTTAATTCAATTTCCGCAAGCTGAAACAAAAATAAAAGAATCTTTGCTCAAAGTTAAGCCAGGCAACCCCTTTACCGGTTTTATCAAGGGGGCATAATAAGGAACCCCCTTTGCGGTGGCTAATTATGCCGCATGGCACATCCTTTGAAGAGCTCTTTAATAAGGATGCCACGTCGGTCCATAAATCAAATGCCACAAAATGTAAATCCACCGGAGGAAAGAAATCGCAGACAACATAAAAATTCAATAACATTCTTCGGGGGCCACAAGGTGCACCAGAGTAACACACATACATACACCAACAGGCAATAACATCCCATGGATGGGTTTTTTAGGAGGAAAAGGAGCCGGAACAGGATCCAAGCGGAAGCAATACACGGTGACACGTCGCAAAGGATACAAAATGTGGCGCTGTTAGTTCCGCAGCTCCTTTTCCTAGACAAAGGACAACGGCGTAATGTAACGGAAACTCTATTGAATTGCGATAAAAATCGCGTTTGCCAGGGAGCAGCCTTTGAACTCCGCGTATCCTTCGGATGCAGGAGACACGGGCTTAGCCATTTTAAAGCATACTTTGGGGCTTGTCAACAGGCGGCAAAATTTATTGCAAATGTACGCCAAAAAAAGAGTTGCACGAACGGTGCGGCATGTGTGTTTGTCTAGTCGGGTAGTGTTGCTCTTCTTGTTTGATATGAGACATATTTAAGTGCAACAAAAACTATTATATTGAAATTTAGTGCATAGTTATACAACAACCAAATAATTCGAGGTAATTTGAAATATTGAACTGAAAATTAGGACTTTACATACTTTTCGTACTCTGGTTATCGGTCCTTGAAAAAGAATATTATCTTCAACATTTCAAATTCTTCAAAAATTGTAAATCAAAATAAAGTGTATCAAAAAGTCAGCGTATTTCGCTCAACTATTTAAGAATGCTATCCTGCTGACAATGTTATCGTTACGGTTATTGATTGAAATTTTTTACACTTTGGTTGTTGTCTCGGTTCCTCTCCCTTAACCCCTTAACAGGGATGACACTTGGCGACATCGGCCAAGGGTTAAGAGAAAATGACAGCTGTTGCCAGAGTGGATTCTTGTTATTTTTTTTGCTTGTTCCGTTTTTGTGTTGATTTGCAAAAGCGAAGAAAGTCAACCCGAGGAATAGGATATCTTCTGAGGCAGGTACGCCTTGTTTGTCCCATATGGTCCTGTTCTGGCTTACACGCACATCCTGTCACTTGCAGGACCAGCAAAAGGACCATTCACATCACCTACACAATGCGAGCAGAGACGCACAATGGCCACATCAATTGTGCATTTCATTTAACTTGCCACGCCCGTGTGACTTTTAAGTGTTGCCGTATAGCACACACCCCTTTCCCCAGGACCATCTACAGGAGCCAGGACTCTCCGAGTGCTGGACATGACAGCTTCTGCATGAGCGACTCCATCTCTCCGGCTCGCAAACTCACTGCCCCTATGGCAAACATTGTACTGCCAAAAGGCCGAAAGCCAAAGCCAAAGCCGTTGTCTGTAGGTTTTTAGGTGTGTTAGGTATTATCTTTGGCGCGGGCGGAGGGGGGAGGCGTGTGGCATACAACCACCCACTCGCACTCGCACACCCACATCCCATCCGCCCACAGCAAACTTTGTGTGCGTTTGTGTCATTGTTAAATTTTGCGCTCGAACGATCTGCAACGGATGACATCCGTATGGCAGGCAAGTTACTTTTTGATGTACAGTATTCTCCTTTTAATACCTCGTAGTTTTGGGCAGAGCTTGGGCATTGTTATCGTTGGGACTTCAAACTTTACAAATATAGTAACTAAGTTTCGCATATCGTTTGAGAAGTCATTGAGAATGACAAACAAGGACTAGGTGTATAAAAGGAAGACCATATTTAAACTTATTTTAAAATCCAAATCGTAATAACTGAATCGTAAATCGCAATTCGTATTAGCTTCCATGTTCTTAATGTTTGGGGCTCATATTCATATTTTAAATCATATTAAATGGAAATATAAAACTTTCACTAATATACTCTTTAAAACTAATAGTGGGTATTGTAAATATCAGAGTGCCACCAAATCATTTCAACTTGTTGTTCATCAAACCCCCGGCTGACCCCTGACCCCTGGACCCAAAGCCCCGGACCGGCTTCCTGTCCCCCCGAAAAAGTTAGTGTGTCCAAGGTGCAGCAAAGGTTGTCACAAGTCGCCTGCCTGTCGTTTGTTGGTTGTCGCTTGTTGGCTGTCGTTAGCATTTGGTTTAAATTGCGCAAAATGCGTGTAATTGCTGGAACTGACGATTGAATGAGCCCCTGTATTAGAGGGAGATGTAGAAGTTCGAAATTGAAAGAGACCCGTCCTGACCCGTCCAGATCCGTCCTGGCAGGCGCCTCGTG